CCAGAAACCAGCGGCGCAAGAGCCCGGCTCCGAGACGGCCACTCAAACCCCACAAGAAACCTCAAAGAATACCTCAAAGGGCAAGAAAAACACTGAGCGGAAAACTCGAAAGGCAATAGCTCGAGAGGCACGAAGGGCCGCAACGCTAGAGAAGGAACGGAAGAGAGCTGAACAAGCTGAATTGCGTGCTAAAGCCACCAAATCTAAGACAACAAAGGCCAAGGGCAAGCCGGATGTAGCCTCTGCGATAAGCAAAGGTCCGCAATTGACCCCTGCCCAAAAAGCGAGGACTGCAACCAATGCCGACAGAGAGAGTGCTGGAAATGTGGCGTTTCTTCTTAATGAATCGCATAAGAGAGTAACTGGTTCTATCAACAAAGATCAGGTGGCACTTGAACGTGAGTTTCTGTTCTGTCTATTCTCAGGCAGTTTTACTGATTTTCGTAGCTTTGGATGTGGAAACGCCGGAAGTCCCACGTCTTTCCTTTGGCCTCGAGAGAGTGCTGTTCAAGTAAGCTCTTTCTCCCCCCTTGTGATGCCGACGTGGACTAACAGAGGCCCAGCCCCGGTGTCTACAACCTTCGCGATCCCCGATCCCGAGTATACAACTTTGACCCCTATCTGGGTTCCATAATGCCCGTCACCGAGTTCGACTTTGACGCGCTGAAAGAATACATTACTTCCTCCAAGGACACCACGTTACGCGACATAGCTCGGAAAGAGAAGAAGAAGTATGTCGGTTCGTCGTCCAGTATGACGTCGGTTCTTTCACAGTTCCACTATCTCCTCTCCTCATGGCGAGGGATCAATACACAAACTTTGTCTCAAGGGTTCCCCGATAAGCTGCGGACTTTCACCCGGCTCCTGCGGGCGCCTTCCGCTATGTTCCTTCGTTACCAAGACGGCGTCTATGCCATCGATGCGGACAAGGAATTCGATAGCGCCAACATCCTCATGAACCTCGGGAAATCCATGGAAAAGCTCTTGACATTACCGAAAGAGAACTTTGAGCGATACCGCAGGTCAAGCGATAATAAGATTACCCCTGAAGAGGAGCAAGCAGTACCGGAATCCTATCACTACTCTACTCTAGGTGATTTCGTTATGAGATCCCAGCTTGATGCCTACGACCCCCGGCTTCCTGGGACTGGAATGTTTGACCTGAAGACACGAGCGGTCGTATCTATCCGCATGGATGCGCAGAACTTTGAGCACGGCCTTGGCTATGAAATCAAAGGTCAATACGGCGCGTTTGAGTCCTACGAGCGTGAATTCTTTGACATGATCCGGGCTGCTTTCCTCAAGTACTCACTGCAAGTGCGAGTTGGCCGTATGGATGGTATCTTCGTGGCCTTCCACAACATCGAACGCATTTTCGGATTTCAGTATGTCAGCTTGCCGGAATTGGACCAGACGCTGCACGGCCAGTCCGATACTGCTCTGGGAGATGCGGAGTTCCGACTCAGTCTGGGGTTGTGGAATAAGATTCTCAATAAGGCTACGGAGAGGTTTCCTCAGCGATCCTTGCGCTTCCATTTTGAAACGCGCGACGCTGCGACTCCGTTCATGTATATTTTCGCGGAACCTGTGACTGAGGAGGAAATCAACGCTATCCAGACGAGAAACGCAGCTGAAATTAATGCATACCAGCAGCGAATCCTGAACCTGTCATCAAAGGGCGACGAGGACGATTCTTCGAGTGTAACAGAGGCACAATCCGATACCGAAGCCACGGAAGAGCATGCAAAGGAAGTGGGCGCGGCTGAGAATGCCATATCGGAGTCGACAACACCTTCCAATGCACCCTCTGAAGCGACATCCTCGGAAGACCCTGCCACCCCGGGGACAGAGAAGGAAGAAAAACAAACCGAACAGCGCGAACTATTTGCCATGACTCTCATGATCAAAAACAAGATAAATGGCAAAGAAGTCGAGCGCCCCACTGACTTCAAAGCAACCCAAAACTGGCAAGTGGACTACGAGCTCATCGAACTTCCAACCGAAAAAGCACGAGTAATCTATGGATCCTGCCAACGCCGCCGTCAAAAGTCTCTCATGGGTCGCGGCGAGGATGAGACGGACGTTGCAGCTAATGTGTATATCCGCAAGCTTCGGGAGATCAGCAAGGCTGGACGCAAGTTCCGGCAAGAGCAGGAGAAGCTTGATAAGGAGAATGGCGTTGTGGTCTTGGATAGGCCTGCATAAAGACCTTGCTTCATATTTTCTTTTCTTTTTTCTTTTTTTTTATGAAATTGGTTACGTCTCTTGATGAGATATGGGACCATTGATTGATGTATAATATTTGTACGGTTTATGGGTCTTTTTCCTTTCTAGATGGGTTGCTGGTTTCAATTGCTTTGTTTGGGTGAATGAATGAATGAATGATTGCATTTGGTCTTAAATGACCAGTCAGCTTCTATAACGTGGTTTTATCTCTCTTCCATACCAGTCACTGTAGTCAGTGGATGGATACTAATGCTTGTTACCCTAGTAAATATTCATTCACTCATGTCTAGACTAAAACATCATAGCAAAAGAAACTCCTAGGCCCAAAAAATTTATCTTGTCAATCATCCCGGTTTCAACCCCAATGTCTGGCTACATCATTTCCAAACCATCAAAGCCACTTGAGCATCGAGGAATGTTTTACATATACAAGACATTCTCAGATCCCGTATACCATTCTTACCCCCCCCCCCCAAAAAAATTTTTTTTGGGTAAACGAACCACATTCGCTATACCCAATTGATCTCAAGAACAAGAAAATGGAATTTTGACTAAGACATTCACCCAAGTGAGTCCACGTCTACATATGTTGATTTCGCTGGGGCTTCTACGGTTTTCATGTCCGTTACTGTGAGAAACCTCCGTCCGAGAAAGCCAGAATGCGCGTGTACATGAGGTATTACCTGATAGAGAGACAAAGTAAATGGCTGGTCATGGGTTAGCAGCTAGTTGTGGTTCCGGACGGTAGAAAGGCGAAATCTAGTACAGAAGACAAGTTAGGGGGATTAGGGCCTGAAAGGCGGGTATGATCATCTATATGCATTTGATTTAGTTTCTTACAGTAATAAGATGCCAAACTGACTGATATACCGTGAAGGCAATCGGTTAAAACATCCTCTCCCAACAGTCGAAACGCCTATACTCAGCACGATAATTCTGGAATCCGAAAGTCTATCCCGAACGTTGCCTTCTGTATGATGGAGGTGAGCATCTCAAAAGAAAACAAGGTGATACTAAAGGCTGCAACGCAATCATGGCTTGTGCGCTAATTATACTGCATCAGCACACAGAAATCGATACTGTGGATGTAGAATTCGTGCTTGGGAGCACACCCGCCGAGTTGTTTACTGGATCATCACTCGGTTTATTCTTTGATGAAAACTGCCCAAACAAGACGACGTGAGAAATACTTGCGCACCAGATTGAACAATGCTAGTTAGCTTGAAGAGCTTCAATAGAAAAGCAAGATGGAGTTGCTTTCAAATGATACATGCGGACTAAGTGCGCATACATGATACCATACTCATACTCCGTGGGACCTTTCTAAGAAGACGTAAATGTGCTTTAATCGATTTATTTGCGAGTATGTGACTAAGGTGAGAAGGTATCTGGAGCGGAAGACTAGCACATGGGCTATCGTCTATCGATACTTTCCAGGTGTTCGACAGACCAACAATGTTGACATCTAAACCGCAATCAACAATCCCACGAATGCAATGGCTTTGGACACTGGTATCCACGCAAAAATTGCCTGACTAACCCGGACTTATTTTCGACGGTGTAAGACCCATCCTCACCCCTGGTATTTATGCTCAAACCAAAAGAAACAGAGCTATTCAACCTGTCAGAACAGCATGTACCGCATACAGACCTAGGTCTATCACTTACACTACGCCAAAAGACGTGTCAGACTAGAGGTGACTTCGATCAGGTCGTTCTGCTTTAAATTTCAATTTGGCCATTGTGATCTTGTTCCACGCCACCGACATGGGAAGAGTAACCGAAGAAGACACATGAGCGAGTTAGAGACCCCTAGCTCTTATAACCTTATTCAATATCTGAAAAGCAAAGCGGTTGATCAGGACAATGCCCTGGCAAGCGGGCTGTCTTTGATTTCTGTCCGGCCTTGGGCGAAGAATCCATTGTAAATGCTAATCTCCTTGACTCCGACATGTTTGAAGCGTTCGTAAAAATACGTGTGGATAAGAGACTTGCTCACGAGAAATCTTTCTTTGAGCTCCTACAAACTTACGGCATTGTGGCTGATTGAGCCGTATAATATTATAATGAACGGGCAGTGACATATAAACCCTGAACCAAATGGTTTATATACTAACATAGGCACCGATGAACCAAAATCAGTTGAGAACCTAGCTAACATATTGCTTCCCCGAGTCATAAAAAACACTAATACTAACAGAAACAGAGCCGCGTGGTTGATTCCTATCAATTGATACCCCCATCTTCACTCTTCCAGCTTCACACTGACCGGGCACGAAGGTGTACCTCTACAGAGGGAGAAAAGAAAGCGTCATGGAGAGAATCCTCGTCGAACCACTTCTGTACAGACAGGTTATTTTTGCTCTTGCGCAAATCGCAGCCAGTTAGTTCCTTTGGTGACTTTGGCAGGCTGGACATATCGACGAATGCTTGCGGTATTACTTCTGATTTTGTTTTATGCAGCAAGTATCAATATTTACGCAACGCAGCCGCCCTAGAACCGACTTTCTTGTTCTGGTTTTTTTCTGCATGATACCAGACCTATATCTCTACCATTCCAAAGCTGGATGGCAAGCTGCAGGGGTCATGCGCCAAATGCCACTTTGGCAGTCTTGAAGGACGGTGCAACTTCTGCTGTAAATTCTCGAGTCTTCTGATCAATGCCCTAGTTTGCTTCGCTGTGTTGTTTTCGGCAGTCGACCATCCTGCCCTCTCATACCCTGCATACAAGGCATTCTAGTTACAGATCCAACCGCTTCGACAATGGAGAGTTATGCTTAAGGGTTTATTGGTAGCTGAGTCTAAGTGTATGAAGTCGCATATGTATGCTCTCTTGTTAAATAAATCTACCAAATTATCAATTAGGACCCGCCTCCTCCAATACCGCATTGGCAGGGAGAAATGAAGTGAAGTGAAATAAAAAAAGATCAGAAGAAAAGAAAAGAAAAAACCAAATCCACACAAAAAAGAAAGATAAAAAGATAAAGAACGCCTCAATCCTTGGCTTTAGCCCTAAGCACCACCCAACCAATCGAACAACCAAATAAAATGAATAAATCCCACATGCGCCGTTTAATCGGTACAAGATACAAAGTTGGTATCTCCTGTGCTGTAAATGAAACTGAAACGCCTGCTGGCCGTGATAAAAGTGAAAAGAAAAGGAAAAAGCAAAGGACGGTGATATGTATGCAATGCCTCGTATCGTATCCAAGATAGAGGTTTGAGAAGTCCGGATGGACATTCCTTGAAAAAACACAAAGAAATGTACAGGTATAGACAGATTGACATATGTCAATCAAAATCGGTGAGAATCAAAAGAAAAGGTGGTCGACGGTATCGTGTTGAAGGTAGGTGATCGTCAGTCATTTTAGGAGATAAGTATGTAGACCGAAAGTCCTGTCAGAAAGTGTGCCCCTAAATAAAGGAAGCACCATATTGTACAGAGAGAAGAAGTCGAGTTCAGGTTTCACTGAAAACCTCCCAGGTTAACCTTGGGAGGCGCCCAGTCCAGCTTAGGTGGAGCCCAGTCCAGCTGCGGGGCCTTATCATTCGACACACAGAGTCCGGGTCTCATTTTGTCGATCTTGCGTCGTTCCTTGGATGCGCTTCCACCGAGGAAGCCTTTCAGTGCTGATGACGCAGTGCCGTAGGTGCTCCGTGAACTCGCGTTAGTGCCAGTACTGGACGATACAAGACTAGAGCTGCGGGCGCTCCGGACACTACCAGGCTTAATGACTGTGGATGGCACTGCGGGAACGGGAACGGCCAATCGTGCGGAAGAGGTGGGGGCATATTCAGGCGCATAATAGGGAGCAGTCTGGGGACGCTGCCGCGGATCCAACATTACACCAGTCGGTTCGGAATCCAGACTGTCAAAGATATCCAGATGAGTACCAGGGGCAGCCTTTGGTGTTTCCACGTCGTCTTCTACCATGGTCGATGCTGTTGGAGGTGGTAGCGGTCCTTGCTGGACGTTGGGCAACTCATCCGCAGAGACGGTGACTTCGAACTTGAGGTTTTCCAACATCGTCCCCAAGCTTGCTGCGGTCGTTGGTCGTCCATCGCTGTAAGAATCGTCACCTTCGACCGCGGGCTCGTCATCCATTCCACTGGCAATGTTGTAATTACGAAACAAGTACCGTCGCAGACGTGCAACCTCGCCATCCCATTTCCGGTGGAGAGATTGCAAGACGAAGTCGACATCATGGTCCAGAACCTGCGGGGCTACTGAAGAAGAGGACATGGTCCCACTGCGGTAGTGACCGACCGACGGGGGATTCTTGGTCAGCTTATTTCCAACCGCTGCGTGACCCACAGTCACAGCCGCGTGGAGAGACCGTCTGATTGAGCTGGACGTAGAGCTCTGAGCGTAGGTAACTTCCCGTTTTAACCCCTCAATTTCCCGGCGCAGCTTATTCAGCGATTGGGCCCGGTCTCGATCCATGCACGAAAGACTTAACAAGGACTGGTTCCGCTGCAGGCCATTGACGAGAACCGTGAAAGATTGCAAGTTGATATCGTTGCTCTCGCAGTAAATCTCACGGAGGCTGGTGTTGTCTTCCAGGACAGATGACAGGGTGTTAGCGCCCTGCAAGCCAAGCCTCTGATGTTCAATCCGCAGCACCTTCAAAGACTTGTTAAGTTTCAAGCCAGTTAATGCCAGGTTGAGACCAATGCCAAACCGGGCCACGTCCAAATGCGCGCTGTCGCCGCTGATATCCAGGTCTTCCAGCGTATCATTCTCCTCGAACATCGCCTGCAGCGACTTGCACGTATCCGGCCCTGCATCATACGGAAGCGACGCCTTGGAAATATCCAAAAACCGCAACGAGCGATTTTTGCGAAGCGCATCGACAAGAATTCGGAACTGCTTCTCCTCTTTGAAGTCGATCATCCTCATTGACAGATGCGATGGAGTCTCGTTCTGACCGATGGCTTTGAAAAGTTGGATGCAGCCATTGTCGAGGCGGTTTTCATTGACGTGCATATGAAGCTCGCGCGGTTTATCGCTCGCGGAAGCAATCGCATGCAGAAGCACAGCTACGTCTTGTCCGTTCAGACCGCATTGATCGAGCCGAAGCACCCGCAATCCCAATGACCGCTTACTCCCCAAGTAAATGGCAATTGCATCAACAGTCTGCGTGTTCACTGGTGTCTGGCTCAATGATAATTCATCGAGTTGCCAATTGAAGAGCGTTTCGGCCGTGACAAGCGGTTCGGGCCCCGAGGTTCGGGAGATGCGTGACAAATTGATCTTTCTAATTTGACTAAAGTAGCCAATGTACTGCTGCAACACATACGGGTTCAAGCGACCTTGTACTCCGGAGATGTCAATCGCTTCTAGCGTCGCCTCCTGAGCGACGATGGTCGACAGAAGTAGGTCGATGTCGTGAACAGACAGACCGCAGTTGCCCACTTCTAGAGCGCGCAGATGACTTGATCTTTGAGAGGCTGCGTCAACGAGGTAGTCGAGGTCAGAGTCTCCAAGTTTGATGCCATTGAGTACTACCCAGTCCACGCTCGTGAGCTCTCGCCGGCAGACGGGGAAGATGGCCTCTGGAATACCACAGCCAGGGTCATGGCTCTCACTATTCGACTGAGGAACGCGACTGAGAGAGTAAGAGAAATCCATACGCCGGAGATATTTGCTCTTCAAGGTCAGAGCCCGAATCTCCTGTGACAGCACCGACAGATTCTCCTGCCCGGGAATGCTGACGGCTGAACCCGTGCGAGTCAGACGAGCATCCTTGTCCACGCCATGCAGATCGCGAATGCCCTGCAGCGCATCTAGACTGACATGATTGAACGAGATCGACCGGAAAGACTCGTTGTAGCGCAACGCCCGCAAGACCGCAATCAGCTCCATGGGCGTGTACTTCTGGCGATTCGTATATGCCGGTGGTAAAAGTTTGAAACACGGCGCATCCTCACACTGCATGTCGATGGTATAACGGATATTGGATGTATCGATATCATAACTGGCGGAATAGGCAACCAGCGTCCGGTCGAAACAGCCGTAGTCCTCATCGAGCGTCACAGGGGGGAAATTATTTTCATCGTCGAGATCACGGGGAACGATAAAATCGAAGGGTTGTCTGATCCAAAGCGGCCGCAAGAATTCGGTATGGTGCCTTATCCAGAAGGCAATCTCCAGCGAATGCACCGAGGCCAGGAAGATCGAAAAGGGTTTGCGGAGCGGGACTCGGAAAGTCAGATGAAGGCTATCGTCGCCCCACTCCATTGACAGCGCGGTAAGGTTCATCAGCCCAAATGACGATGCGGATTCCATATCCGGAAGGGAAACCACGGAACCGCGGTGGGTCGGCTTCTGCTGAAACGGGATTAGGTGCAGCTTGTGCGATCCAAGGGCGAGATAGCAGCCGGTAGGGGAAAGCTTGGTAATGTCTTCAGACGATGTGCGGGCCGGGTATTTGCCGCTGCTGCTCCCAGTGCTCCCATGCATGCCACCGTTGCCGCCACCGCTAGAGGCCATCTGAATAACACGGAACATGCGAAACGTCTCCGGGTGGTAATCTCGCTCGTACTCTAGTATCCGCGCAACATGCTCGACAGTTCTCTGATCATAAGGCAATGGATCGGACATGCGAGTCATCTCGGCCGCCGAACGGATTCCCACCATCCACAAGTTCAATTCCTGGATTTCGGGGGTTTGCATTTGCACGAAGGCGGCCTTTTGAGTGCGGTCGTCCACGTAGGCGAGCTCGACCGAGGACGAGAGTCTCCCATCATCCAGCATATAGACGGCAATAATACTGTTCAGGGGGATGCCGACGGAGGTATCTGCGGCGGCGGACAATTGCGCATCTTGGATCGAACTGACAGAGGCCACGGACTGTCGGTGGTGTTGCAGGTTACTCGAGGTGTTCGGGCGTTCGAAGGAGGGAGGAATAGATGGAAAGGCTTCAGCGGCTTTCTTCTGACTCTTGAAACGGACGAGATGGGTGTTGGTAAGGACGAGAAATTGGCTCTTTTTCCTCCACATGCCACCAGTGGTCTGAACCTCGCCATGATGTAGAACCATATTCCCAATCATACATGTCCGTGCGGCGGAGGAATCGTCGTCATCCCCGGAAGAATACTTGGAGCGCCCGGTAGACTTGGTGTCTTCGTCATTTTCGAACGAGTGTAGCGATCGGAGGGACCCAAAAACGGAAGCGCGTTTTTTCTGTAACGATTTCCGTCGGGGACGAACCACGGCGTCCGGGGGAGTGGAGGAGGCCATAGAGGCGGCCCATGCTGCTATTTCGGCATCTGCAGTCGCGGAGGCTGCTAGATTCTGAGGCTGGGGGCTGACATTCCGATTGCTGCCAAAGAAGCCGGAATTGCGACGGTTTTTCGGTTTCTTCAGAACATGGGTTTCGTCGGAGGGAGAGCGATCGTGGGAGAGGGAAGCCGTCAGGTTGGAGGCTGCGGACGAGGGACTGAATACACTGAGACTTTTTCTTCTTTCTTTTCTGCCAAAACTGTCGGCCATGACGAAGTCCTATAGAAGAGAGCGGAAGAAAAAGGAGAAAAGAAAAAGGGAAAAACTCAAATCCACCAAAACAATTGGACCAAGAAAAAAAAACAACAACAACAAAAGGACAGCGAGCGGTGGCAATGGTAGAAGAGGACGACAGGTCACATCAACCAGAGAGTATGTACTTTATGTACTGGGATGGAGTATGTACAGAAGGTTCCTGCAGAATTAGCCTAGCCCATAGTGATAGTAATTGAAAAGAAGTGAAGGAGAGAAGAGTGTTGGGGATAAAATTGTGAGGCAGGTTTGAAACCAAAATCTCCGCCAGCGACACGGGGAGTGCAAATACTTACAGCAGACCGTCAAGGCGCCATCAGAAGAAAGAACGAGAAAAAGAAAGAGAAAAGAGAAAGGGATTGTAGTAGTAGAGTAGGATTGTATCGACCAGCAGAACAATCAAGCAAAAACGACAGAAAACGACGGAAAGGGAAAGGAAGAGATGAAAACGGCGAAGAGAGAGACCAGCACCCGAGAGACACAGAAAGAAGTAGAGGGGAAGAGAGAGAGAGTATGCGTGTGTGGAAGAGTACTCCAGAGTAGTAGTGAGACAAAGAGAGGAAAAGGAAAAGGGGAGAAAAGAAATCCGGAGAAAATCAGATCCACGCAGATCAAATGATGTCAAGCGGTACTCTACAAGTACATACAGCATGGGCAGATTAACTATGCTGAATTATAGAGTACAGAGTAGCTGTAGAGCACAGTTTAGAAGTACTCTGTATGTTCCTGTTATTTTATTCTTCTCCCATTAATGTTCTCTCGCAAACTCCAGTTCCTCTGAAACAACCACCGGCAATCCTCCATATTAATTCGCTCCACATAGTTCCATGGATTCGATCCGTTTTCCAGACGGCCAATATTTACGAACGGCGCATTGGCAGCTGCAGGCAATGCTATGGTAACCATATTGCAAAAGCTACTATGGAGTACATACATCATACTAACCTACTACTATATAATACCATACTATCATATACTTCGTAAACCAGGTAGGAGTGAGGCGGCCATCCATTAATAATGTCTCGTCCCATCTACGTTGCAATAGTTTCTGCCGAGTTAGACATCGGAGTCCTCTTCCGTTTCCGCATCCGTATCCATCCAATTATCCGTGCTCACCCTAGTAGTATATACACGTACTTTGTCCATGCTCAAATTAGAACAACCTGCCACAATCCAGGCCCTGACCCTGGTTCTGGCCTGTCTATCTACCACTGATCAGATTCTCCCGCTCAGCAGTAACCCTCTGCACCCGCTTCACCTTACGCATAAAATCAATATATTCCGCCACCCGTCTCTCCGCCCATACGCATCCGCCCAACGTCATCGCCGCGATCTGCAAAAACACTTTGAACTGCGGAGTGAGGCCCTGGTATACCCGAGCTGTCGGGGAGATCCACTCCGAGAAACCTTCGAGGGGCCTGTGGAGGAAGCGCGCGCGGAAGTATTCTTTTGTAAAGGGGGGTGGTCTTCGTGCCCGCGGTCGTGAACCTGGTTGATGTGGTTGTGGCGGACCGGCGTTGCTTGCGAATGTGAAGGGATGAGGGAGGATCATGATCATATGCGCGAGGATGGAGACGGAGCCGTACTGCGGAGTGTGTTAGCTCGATTCTCTGCGCCGGGGTTGGGGTGCGCACCCGGAATGCACCTGCTAAAAAACCCTTGACGCCTTCCGTGGTGACTTCCTCCGGGGGCTCAATGTCTGCTCTTAGGTCTGCTGGGGGAGGCATTTTGTCTGAGTAGTGTTATGCGACTTCGTGTACTTGAAAAATACGGAGTAGAGCTTTTGAGCAAACCCCGTCAGATACCGGCGGAGGAACAGACACGGATCGGTGCAAGATGGCAATATTGATAAATTATCTATAATGCGGATAATAGAATGAAAGACGATTATAGATACTGGACCAGCCAGACAATTGCCACACCTATACAGACAAGGGCAATGAACTCCAGCATTAACTCCGACTCGGACATGACGCAGCCGGATCAAAATCCCCCCGCTCCGCCATGCGGGACGAATCACATTCATTCAATTCGAATTTTCAATTGATATCAGCTAGAATACCAACTATACTCTCCAGCTACTCCCCCAAAACCGAAGAACAGAAACAGCCACCATCATGCCCTTCACCCCCCGCACCGCCAGCCTCTCCCGCACAACCAACGAGACCAAAATCCAAGTCTCCCTCTCCCTCGACGGCGGCGTCCTCCCCGCCTACGAACCCACCGACCACTTCCCCTCCCCCTCCGACCCCCAAGAAGCAGAAGCCGCAAAACATGGCATAGTCCCGCAAAAGGATGCCGCGCATGCGACGCAATTCACGGCCACGCAGCAGATCACCATTAGCACGGGGATAGGCTTCTTGGATCATATGCTGCATGCGCTGGCGAAGCATTCTGGGTGGAGTTTAGCTGTAAGGGCTAAGGGAGATATTTACAGTGCGCTTCCCCAACCCTTGGTATATGTCTATGTGCAGGTACTAATAGAGAAAAGTCGACGACCACCACACAACAGAAGACACCTTCCTCGCCCTCGGCAGCGCCTTCACACAAGCCCTCGGCGCGCGCGCCTCAATCACCCGTTTCGGCCGCGGCGACGCCCCCCTCGACGAAGCCCTCTCGTGGGCTGTTATCGACCTCTCCTCGCGCGCCTGGTCCGTGATCAACATCGGGTTCCGGCGCGAAAAGATCGGCGATCTAAGCACGGAGATGATCACGCATGGACTGCACAGTTTCGCGCAGGCGGCGAATGTCACGCTGCATATCGGATGCACGTACGGGGATAATGACCACCATCGGGCAGAGAGTGCGTTTAAGGCATTGGCTGTTGCGGTGCGGACGGCTTGTGCGAGGCGTGGAGAGGGGGAGGTTGGGGCGGGGGATATTGTTAGTACGAAGGGTGTTCTTTGAAGTCCGAGTACAAAGTACGAGGACGTGGACTCTTTGGTAGAGATTGTCTATGATATGCAATAACGAACATACATAACCCTATTATACACCATCCACCCACCCAACTAATGAAACCTAAGAACTCACCCCCAACGCCTTAACAGCACTCTCCCAATACCTCCTCCTTCCCTCATTCGCCTCCGTCCCAACACAACCACTAATATACCCCTGCCACCCCTCCTCACTCCCACTCTGCAAAGTCTCCCTAACACTCTGCTCACACTGCGTCGTCAAAAACCACGCCCCAGACCCGAAGTCATACTCTTCATCCGCAAGGAGAATATCAAGTATCTGTCCCGCTTCGCCGTTCGCGGCAGACACTTTATCGCTGATCGCGGGGATTGAAGACGCGTATTTAGCGTTGTAGCTGGGTGATTGCATATTCCGTGCTGTATCATCACATGAGCCCTGGCCCTTCTCACCTACACCCCATCGGGGTTCCAACGCCATCTAAACACAAGGTGACTTACTCCCCTGTCCCTCAACGCCCGGAACCTTGTTCCTACTAAACCGAAACTCCTCGCTCTCAAACGCCATCAGCGCAATAACAGCAGCCTGCTCTGCTTTCGAGGTGACACCGTAGTTCTCAAAGGACTTTGCGATATTCGGCGCGGCTTGGTCGGCTGTTGCGCATTCGCCTTTTGCGGGGGGTTTATCGCAGTTGACTGATCTGGGTGCGATTTGTTGGATTTGCTGCGCTGTTATTTGTGATGTGTCTTGGGTTGCTGTAGATGGGGTTGGGACTGCGAAGGCCAGGAGGGGAAGGAGAGTGAGGAGGGTTGTGGTGTGCATTTTGCTGATATCTGGCTTTGTAGAGTTAAGAATGGATTCCGTACTCTGTAGTGTGGAAAAAAGGGCAGCCTTTTGTACTCGCTCATCCTGATCGCCAGGTCAACCGCCCACATTCAGCGCAACCGCCAAAAGACAGAGAATGCGATGATCATTCTGAAACACGACACCTCACATATGCTAGCCTCGAAAAAATGCTTAGCCGTGCCAAACAAAGAAATAATCGTCCAGGGGCAAATTGATCAGCTGGGGTTGGTCAACCGCAGGAACCCTAAACACACCCAACCGCCAATAACCTCCCGGAACTAGTGGCGACTACGAGGACAAAACACAGACTTCATAGGACAATGATTGAGAATATTATTTGCAGGTGCATTTAGCGCCAGGCCTGTCTCCATAAAATAAACGGCGGCCATCTATCAGCAGTCGAATCGAAGTCTATCTGTTAAAAAGGTGTATGACAAAAAACAATAGGGGAAGAAGAATCAAAAAGGTGTGTAAATCGAGACATCAGAAACAGAGCCAAAATTCTATGCGAGCACCGCTTAGCAGTTATTTTCCTCGCGAGCAAAAAACAATCCAAAGCCGTTGCCAAAAAGAAAAAAAAATTTACAACCCAATAATATGGCTTCTATAGAAGCACCGGCCGATCCATGACCCAAAACTCCGTAAATGCACGCCAATATCAGCACAGGGGGAAAAAAGAAAAAAAAAAAAAAAAAAAAAAAAAGGCACGAGACAAATGTGACAAAAGGGAAACGAAGAAACAAGCAGAAGTGAATGCTCAGATGCAAGTCATGCCAAACAACCGAGCAAAACATATTGACAAACAAGAGCAAACAACAGCATATGACTTCTTTTTAATCATTTCTGCTGTAAAATTCGTATGACGTCTCTGTGGGACCAGTTTCTTCGTCTTCTTTGTTGAAGCTGACCCGACGAAGCAGGGTAGGTACTGCCAATCGTGCCCGACGAGTGGGCGACAGGCCAGCCGGTGTGACAATTGTCGGTACCTTCGAGTAGCCATGGCGATATCTGGAGCTCAGGTTCATTACACGGCCATAGATCCACCAGGAACCAAGACCGACGACGCCGGCCAGAGCAAAGCCGCAGAAAGTCAGGAACATCCAATGTTGTCCCATCTAGGAAAGTTAATCTCAGCTTCTCGGTAAACAGTCGAAATGAAAACTTACCCAGAAGATCAGTTGAGCGTCTTTGCCATGCCAGCTGTTACCAACGTGGTGGGTGAAGAAACTCCACGAGTAGCGGTTGTATTCGTCTTGCATGAGGATACGGACCCTGTCAGCCTCGCTGGGCTTGTCGAGCATGTATTCTTTCCACAGAACCGACAAGAAAAGAGGACCGGTCGAGTACATGACAGTGATGTAGGGAAGCAGCCAGCTGCGGTCGTAGGATTGCAAGAGTTCGATAACGCGGAGGAAGAAGGGGTGCTGAGGAACAGATCCCATCGCATCGTTGGAGATACCAGTTGGAGCGGTACGACGAACCCACGCAGGGTAAGCGAGAAGAGGATCCAAGCGGCGGTTGCAGCCCTATAACTAGTCAGAGAGACTCAAAAGTGAGCAATGGTATAAAGGGCTTACATCGTCAAGGTCAATGTAGGTTCCACCGTAGTGGGCCAGGACAAAGTAACGGATCGAGTCGGCGCGTTGGATGGGGTACTTGTAGCCATCGAAAGTATCAAGGAACCAGGGGTATTCTTTGGCGATAAAGTCACGCGCTTTCTCGTTGGTCCAGAGCTGTTGCGAAACACACCAGTTAGCTGTCGGTTGCACGTGACCACTGGTAAAGGAAGAGAATAAACTTACAATGTACTCATAGTCGGGGTGCAAGTCGATACAGCTTCGTTGAGCATCAACCCAAACTTCAGGAATCGATTCGTTCTTGTAGGTCTGGTGAATGATCTTGGGGATGACCTGAGGCCGTTGCTCGATCAGACTCGAATTAGGCGAAGGAAGCTCTGCGCGGTGGATTGCGTCGGCCGAGGCATCTTCCACCAATAATGACAGAAGCGTAAAGACACTGCGGACCAGAAATGAAAGAATGATGAGGTTGACCACCAAGAAGATTAAGACGCCTCTCCGCATTGTGAAGAGATGGGATGAGATGGGGAGGTTGGAGAGTAGGAAGGTGTATAGGTGTAGATGTGCCGGGAAGGTGCAAGACGGAAAGTCAATTGAACCAGATTCTCGCGCAGTCGTAGCCTCGTGTCAAGGCAGGAAGGATGCGATGATTGTTTCCGTCAACAGGGAAACCACGGTTATTGTTGTCTTCCCGAAAGAAGGTCCCCGAGAACCGCAGGAGATTGTTTCAAACCGGAGTCAACAAGGGACTTTGACGCATGGAATATCGACACGGGGTGCCACAAGCGATAAGAGATTGTTGAAGTTGTAATCTGGAACGTGACGAGGGAGAAAAGAAGATAGTAAAAGGCAAAGGGACCAGGAGGCAATGAAGACCTGGGGCGGAATTGGTTGAGTGGTGGCAGTGGCAGTGGCAGAGGCAGTAACCGCGGATAGGCAGAAAATGAAGGAACGACTGACTAGGCGCCAGCAAGTCGGTAGTAGCGATTATTATTTAAAAAAAAAACGCGTAACTCGAAGATTTCCACGGCTTCTTTTCTTTTCTTTTCTTTTTTGAATTAAAAAAAAGAAAATAAGGAATGACTGGCGTGAAAAAAGAGTTTCAAGTACGAGACACTCAGGCACAGAATCAACAGGGGTGAAGTTGAGTATAAGACAAGACAAGATTGTCCATCAACAATCAGAGAAAACAAATTCTGGATAATTAAGGAATGACCAGAATCAACAAGAAAGTGAGAAAAATAGTTGATAGAAGAATAATATTCCGTAGTGAGAATAGAGAGAAAAGGGGAGGCGGGTAAAGACGAATGATTGTAACGAAATCAAAATAGTTTAAAATAATTCAAAAAAAAAAAAAAATAAAATAAAACGAATGAGTGTCAAGGCGTATTTTTTTTACCTTTTTTAGGGGCCAAAAAAATAAATAATAAAAAAGAGCGTGGTTGAGTGGTTGAGCGAATAGAGAGAAAAAGGAAAGAGAGTGGAAAGGAAGAGAAAGAGAGCCTGGTGAGAACGCGGTGGCAGTGAGAAGCAGCAGAGAACAGTACGTACGTAGTCCACTACTGTGCTGTCGTTGGTTAAGGAGACTTTAGCCCCAGACCAGACCCAAAGAGGCAACGGGGCGGAGTCCCGTGCCAGAGCCACCCAGTCCTAATGGGGTAACCAACATAGCGGCTCCCATGGTTTAGTCACCAGTAGTCTTCTTACGGGGAAGCGCACTAGACTGGGTTTAGCAGGTATCCCCACTTAAGATACCCCCACTCGGAAAGGTTCAGTAAGGTTGGGGCAGGAGCCAAGATTGCCAGGGGTAGTATGTGTGTTGAGTATGTACGATGTACGAAATACTTGGATCTGTACGGAATACAAACGGAGTATGAGTATGGAGTAGATACATGTCAATCGACTCATCACTGCTTGTACAAATGCATACTTGTATCTACCACCCCAGTCTTGGCTCGTACTCGTACTTGCTCTATGCTAAGCCACTCCAAGTGACCCCACATGATTGGTGGAGGACGAGCCCGTTTGGTCCATCCATCGCACGCCGTTAAGAGTTAGCCTCGGCCTAGTGCCCGGTAGCTCGTCTCAGACGGCTGGGAAGATAGACAGATAGACAGGATGATAGACATGGGGAAAGCGCTTAATTATCGTGAAAAAGGGGCCGTGTAAAGGAGATAATTACGCAGCTATGGAGTACAATGAATACACATTATTCTCTGAAACACCAGAGCAGTTGTCACAGGAGCTGCTTTTGTCTGGACCAATCATATAGTGGCGTTGGACACAGCACATGTACGGTTTAGACAGTGTTTTATTATTTGTCGCTCAGTATCGCTCAGGGATCGTGCTCGTATTGCTATGATACAGTGGGGATGGTAACGATTTCAACCATATTAAGGAGCCTCGTACATAGTGCTCTTTACTGACACTAGCCCTCAACTACTCTCTACAAATACTTGTACAATCTAAAAGATACTTTTTATTGGTTACGTACTTCCTGCCACTGGCTAGTGATCAACATCATCATTCCTCAAATTTCATCATAGATACCTCAGGCAGTCAACAATTTTTCTTTCTGGAAGGCGACATGGACACGAACCCTGGGCTGATTGACATCTCCGTGTTGAATAGGGAACCAAATACCATGGTTCTCTCTCTCCGCATTAGGTGCCTCCGGCACTTATCCAGAGATTGCTTGACGCGAAACATCGGAGTATCTATGTGGTTATCGTCATGATCCATAGATCGGTAAAACTGAAAATTTGTGTGGTTGTTTATCGGGCGGATGGACAAGATCTGTCTGTACTCGGAACACCTGCCACGGTATATCAGAGTACGGTATGCTCACGACTAGCATTTTAGTAGTAATAGTCCGTACGCGAAGGAGGCTCGCTAACTGAATCTGGACCCTGCATCTTGGTACTTGTGGAGGTCCCAAAGATAATACGTACTGTCATGCTCGGTATCCTGGGCAATCCAATCTCGTCCCAATTATTGCGCACAGAGGCTTGTACAGTACTTTAAATCTCTCATGGTCTTCCACTCCCCGCCATATCCTGTCATATCTCCTCTCTTCTCTATCCGTGCAGACTACTCTGTGTACAAGTACATACTCAATACAGTACTCCAGACGGAGCGCTCTACATACTCCACACAATGCCATGTTAACCGACCCGACAACCACTCAGCGTCGGCGGTAATTGGCAGACGCGTGGACAGATGGAGTACTACAAATAAAGTCTGTGCGGTGGTCTGTGGCCAGCCACATCTTTACCCTAACCATCGCATCGCATCGTTATCTAAACCCAGCAAGCACCAAGAGACCAAGATACCAAGAATCCCCCAAGAAAAAGATTAACCCCACTTAGCACCACAATGACAACGTATCGCAACTTAACGGTTTCATTCCATCATTTATCGGCCGGGCGCTTGGACCTGCCGTGGCGTATTCGTACAGAGTAGATAAGAGTACTTCGTACCGCGGAGTTATCGAGGTCGGTCGATAAGTTGAACGTGCGGACTACGGCCGAGTTTAAAATACTGGACTAGATAATATCTCAATGGGGCACGTATGCTGTACTTCATACTCGCTCGCACTTGTACATACGGAGTACGAGGTACGATACAGTCGCATGCACGGCTTCCGACCTCTTCCAGACAGCCGATGAAAACCCCACAGCCCACCCAGCAGAACAACACACTTGTTATTCTTAGCAGCGCCCACTTTCCCTGCAAGACACTGTAAAGTACCCTGTGTGGCAAATGTCAAAACGAATATGCAAAGACAAGGCTCCATCCAGCCTCGCATTGCCCCGCACCCACTCACAGGGAAAATCCTTTTTTGAAACTGAACAGAACAGTTGATCAATGCTTACTTTTCTTCGGTGTACCAGAGTAGAACAGAGCCTCAATTGGCGTTGTGTCGTACACTGACGTCGTACGTGTAAGACGTTGCCCGGCCGGGCGTACTGTACCACGTCTTGTTTTGGTTACTCCACATTATCACCCGTTGTGTTGCTGAAATTATGGTGGCTGTGAAGGCCACACAAAGCAGCTTATATTCACATGTCGACTGGACTCAGAGTATTCTGTATGCCTAGCGTGTTGCGTACACCGCGGAATCATCGGAGGTCTTTCGAAATAAACTTATCGGTCGGTAGGTTATTCTATTTATAGTTTCGAGGCTTTCAGCTGCTGTCTGCCTACGAGTAGAGAGTACAAAGATGTCAAGTTAATCGGTTGGAATATCATTGATTGCTGTTCTATGTATATCTGAAGGCTACCGAGTATCCATTCAGTTCCTGGTATCGGACCTACTGTACTAAGTAAGAATTGACAACACGTTGAGAGAGCAACTAGTTCAACGGCCGCGCTGTATTCACCCCAGACTCTTCCCCAGTTTCCACTCCCAACAGTATATCAGTGGAGAGTGAGCAAATTGAGGGCTGATCGTCAGGCCTGGAACTGCAGATAATCCGCGCGAATCGCCAGGGAGGCTGGCGACAACGCAGCGGCTATTAATGATTATCAGAGCCTTGAAGCTGTGTTCTCAGGCGGAAGGATCTGCTTCTGCATGCGCGTCCAAGATAATCAGGATGGTAAACAACCAAGGTCGCAACGCTTTGATCTAAAATAAAAACACAAGACGTACAGCATCACCTTCAACGCACTTCAGGCGCCGCAGCAGCGGTAAAGTCACCATTGACATTGTTCATGTCCGTCCCACGTGCATCCGTCTGTGAAACAAACAACCGCCTCCACCACATCGGTGGATCAAGAGGGCGATGACCACCGTGAAGCGGCGGGTAGACATCGTTGAAAAAGTACCAGATATGGCCCACCACGACGCCACAGATTTCATCCTTGGGCACGATCCCGTGGACAACAAGGCTGAATGCCATCAATACCCACGGAAGATACGGGGCCGTAAAGACAAGTAGCCCCAAGAAGCTGAGGCGAGTATCAGGGTTGCGGCGACTCCAAATGTAGACCAGACTCGAAGATAGCGAAGTACCCAGGAACGGAAGCGACAAAAACGGGGAGATGATCAAGAGCGACACCATCGCATAGAATAACAGCCACGAGAAATGAGCGGGAGATCGACCGGACGTTTCCTCAAGCAGGCGCGAGTACCGTTGCAGGAAAAACACGTGGAATAACAGGTCTAGACTGAGCGGTCCGAAGTAGAGAAACGTCGTTACTAGGCGCCAGTACTGTTCGAGTTAGCCACAGCTGCCCCGCAATCCTTCTTCTTTGTCTTCCTTTTCCGTTTTATTTCTGGTCGACGCACCTGCGACTTGAAGTACACGGCCCGGAAGCTGTAAAATAGCTGGAACGGCGTCAAGATATGGCACTGCACCAGTACTGACGTAGCAACGGTGGCAGCTGTCCACCACCGGGTGACAGGCGGCATCTCATAGAACCATTGTTCAAGGGGGAACTGGCCTGCTTGCCCACCATTACCCCAGATGGCGGCCATTGCGTCGGATGTTAAGAGGTATCCAAATCGATAAGAAAATAAACAGCCGTATCGACCGATACCAGAGGAGTCGCCACAGAATAAACGTCGCGAATAAAGCCACTACCAAATAACAGCAAGCTTGCAATTTGTTCCCCTCGCCAGTTTATAAGTACCGAACGCAAACAAAGCTCCAGGGTGGCCTCTTCCGCCCTTGAAGCCCTGCAACGATGTCATCCGCCCGCCGATATTGTCACGTGATATATAGACAACCGCGCGCTTAAGCGGATAAGCACACGCTACGCGTCAAAATACCGGAGGCTGGGAAACACGCATCATGCCCTCGATATCAGCCAATAGCTCCTGAGGCAGCGATTGCCGGCGACTTTTGCGTTCGACTTTCCAATTGCCCCCCCCCCCCATCCATGGTCTTTCTCTGGCCAGACAAGAACCGATTCTAGTCGCAAGAGCATCTTTGTCGTTTGTTTACTGCGGTTTCCTTTTGTTCTTTTTTCGTTTTGCCCGCGTCAAAACAAAAGACTGTCCCGCCGAGCTCGATATCCATTAGACGAATTAGCCATTCTCACTCATAAAGCATTGCGCACATTATTGGACTTTCGATTGGGATTTGTTGCATAAAGGTCTCTCATAATATCACCATTCACTTAAGCGTCGAGTCTCGCGCCGTTTTCATACCAGAATAGGAATATCACCACCCGCGCAAACCGTCGCAATGCCACCAAAGACAGGAAAAGGCCGCAAAGTCGTCTCAGAACCGCGATCGCGCCCAAGTGCCAGCGACGGAGAAGCAGGCCTGTCATCAGACCTGCAACAAACCGTGTCGCCAGCAAACAAAAAGAACCCCAAGGCTTCCACTTCCGGAGAAGCAAGAGAAGGCAAGCGACCATCGGGAGTAACAAAGCCGCCAAAGACAGCAAAAACATTAGACATCCAACGTATGTTTCAAACTATTCAGACTTGCTTTCGTGAAGAGTCTCCATCGCAGATCACAAGCTAATCCTATCATTTAGCCGGTGACCCAACCCCCCAAGGCCGTCCACGCCGTTACAAACCCGGAACCGTTGCTCTGAAAGAAATCCGCAAATACCAACGCTCCTTCGACCTCCTCATCCAAAAGCTCCCCTTCGCGCGCCTCGTCCGTGAAGTCGCCCTGGAACTGCTCCCCGCAGACGTAGGCGAACAGCTCCGATGGCAGTCGCATGCGATCCAAGCACTACAAGAAGCTGCAGAGGCGTTCCTCGTTCATTTATTCGAAGATACTAATTTGTGCGCTCTGCATGCTAAGCGTGTGACTATTATGCAGAAGGATATCCAGCTTGCAAGGAGGATTCGTGGTGCTTGGGGGGGTTTGGGATGATTTGTTTCCGGCATTCTATTTTTCGTATTTATTTACGTGGTTTCTTTTTTCCTCTGGTTGGTTGTTATCATACCCAACCATCAGCCTTTCGAGCTGCATACGGTTGGTACACGGCGTCTTGTTGGGTGACGGAGTCAATCGGTCTGCTGTTTTTTTTTTTTTTTTTTTTTTTTTTTTTTTTTTTTTGTGCTTATCTGCTTCTTTTTAGGTGTCATTTCTCGCCTTCATTACGCTCATTCTGTGGGTTCCATATTTCAGATAGCAGCTTGATTTGATGTGCGGGTGTATATTGCATATATCGTATGGTGCAGGTTGTTTTTATGGATTCAAACGACGACGGCTTTGTTAAATATTCAAATGCTGTGTATTGAATGAATAGCCTGTGATGGCATTGGATTTAATAATGAATAATGTTGTGGTTTTGGTTTATACTTTGATTGGTTATCGTAGTTGAAATATATGCATATATGTTGTTGCTATTCTACGTGCATTGAATTTTGTAAAAAGATAGGGGAACAAAAAGAACAATGATATATATGCACCTATTTATACAATAAACAGCCCAGTCTATGCGCCAGATGCCCATCAGCAGATATGGTATCTCAAAACTCAAACCGACTAACTCGAAGGACTAAAATCAACAAATCCCTAAGAAAATGACTAAAAAAAAAAAAAAAAAAAAAAAAAAAAAAAATCAACATTATAAAAGATCAAACACCCCTCCTCAACGCCCCTGGAAGCCCCGTTGTAACCCTCATCCCCTCATCCCTAACAGTTCCCGCCTCCTCTCCCTTCCCTTGCCTCTCTAATGTCTCCGCGAGCATTTCATCCGTAACGCTTACCCAAAGACGATCATTCGCTTTCTTCGCCATTGCCCGCCCTGCTCGTGCACTTTTCTCCGCTTGTTCCCCGACAACACCGCGGAAGTACTTCCAGCTCATGAAAGTCAGTGTCATGCAGGTGATTTGGGAGTTGCTGATCGCTGTGGCGGATTGGAGCGCTTGTTGGAGGAATTGTTTTGTTTGGATTGTGGATTCGGTTTGCACGGTTGCATTGATGAGGTAGTAGGCTGCTTGGATGTATTTGTTGGGGCTTGATTTGGCGAAGGATTCAATGGTGGAGAGGACTGATGGGAGGAGCGAGTGGGAGGGGTGAGATGGGTCGCGGAGGATGAGGGCGGTGTTGATGGTTGCAAGGATGGCGATGTCACGGCGGGGGTCGTTGCGTGTTATTTTGCTGGCGTTGGGGGAAAGTGAGAGGAGTGGGGATTGGAAGATTGTTAAGGCGGTTTTGAGGTCTCCTGTTGCTTGCGCGATAGTGCCTGTGGTGTATTCTACGAGGCATTGGATGTCATCTGAGAGGTTGTCACCGGTCTCTTGTGCGATTTGTCGGAGTTCTTTAAGATTTTGTTTGGCAAAGTCCCAATCGGTTCGTGAACATGCCAGAAATACTTGTTGTAGTATGATGTTGCAGCATAGCGTCCTGCGCCATTCTATGCGTTTGTTTGCGCTTACCATCGATTCTGCAACATTTTCCGGTATCTCGAAGCTGCCTGAACGGCTGTCAGCGATGAATCTGTCAATATAAAGAGGGGAACTGACTGTTGAGCATACGCCTCCCTTCTTGAAGGAACTTCTCAGCTTTACGACCGTCATGCGAGTTCTTAGCACTGAGTGTGACAGAGCTAAGGAAATAGCACAACGCATAAAGATCATGCTGGGGTAGCCAGCTGAAACTCAGAAGCAACGTGCCATTCTGGACTTGGAGAATATCACCGGTGTCAATTGAAGAAGGTCCCGCAGATTTGCCATTCAGTGGGACAGAGAACGATCCGTCAACGCGCCAGTTAGGATAATTTAACCTCTCGTCCATTATCTCTTGCAACACTCGTAATTTTTGAGCAGATTGGTTGACATCGTATTCCAGAAGACTGCAGCAAATGTCAACCATCTGAACGAGAGTGATTAATTGAGGTATGTGCCGAAGGTCATCATTGAGTTGATGACTTCGTGCGGTAGCCACTGCGCGCTGAGCCTGCTCAATAGAATCGAAATTCGAGCCTAGCTGCAGATGTGCCAGTGCCTCAATCACAGCAGCCATGGCTGATACAGCCTTGTCACCATTGCGATTGGCCATCTGGGAGATTTTGTGGAGATGATGCAGCGCTGAAACCGAGTCTTGATGGGTTGGGGATGATAAAGATAAAGAAAGTGAGACTCTAAGGAAGCGAAAAGCATACTCCCAGGCCGAATGGCGATACCTATACCAGTTTAGCCACATGCCACACCATCAGTTTGTACACAAGTACTTACGCTTCCACGTCCTGGATCATACCATCAACAGCCTTCAACGAAGCTCTCGGATTGGTCTTGTGGAGCATCCGCGCTAAAAGATGCTGCATACTGTACTTGAGGTCCAACATGCGGTTCTGGATTGTTATAAGTATTATGTCCAAGATAACAGACGAAAAGACCACTCACTCTTTCACACAAATCGATCTAATGAACTGTCAGTAAACCAGCAAGTACCAGGGGAGAAACAGACATACCCCTTTACTCAATGCAGTTTCCGCTTCAAGGTCATTATCTGTTTCCTCGAACAAGACGCGTGCATATCGTAACCGCACAAGTGCCTCCATACGTGGTTGAAGTCTCCAGTTCTACACGAAATCAGCCAACCGTCGAGTTGTCGGACTTCCAACCAAACAAAAATATCCCACTGACCTTCAAAACAGCCTCCAGACACCCAAGCCCCGTAGCAAGAAGCTTATAGTATTCCTCCACGTCATCCTCCTTTCTCAACGAGGCAACAGTGGTCCCATGGTTATGAGCAGCATTGAGATACTCGTCCGCCAATGACAACAACAGTACCTGATAATCAACCGAAGGTTTCCCTTGTTTGCGTGCAGTTTGTTGGTTTCCTTGCAGTTGTGCTTGCCCTTGTTTCCTGGCTGCTTGCTGTTTCAACAATTTCTGTTGGACCTCTGGCGAAGGAGCGGGAATCAACATCTGAGGAACCTGTTTTGCGGTTGGTGTTGGAGCAGTAGGCGTTGAAGTCAGAGATCTAGAAATTGATGCAGGGACAACGGTCGGTGTAGAAGAAGGAACGGAAGGCATGGTGACAGAAGCAGTTGTAGGAACGGGGTTGGGACTGGCGACTGGAGCAGGAGCAGGAACGGAAGTAGAAGCGGGAATCGGCGAGGGAGCGGGTTTTTTTTGCAAAGGGGTCGCCTGCTGTTTTGGAGCGACCTGTGGATATTGATTGTATGCGTTGCTGCTGCCCGGGCTAGCACTAGGAGGAGGATAGAGTGTTGGCTGCGTCGAGTTAGATATAGTGGGTAATGTAGGCGAGCGGTCGGGGTTGTTGTTTGCAACAGACGCGGCAGGCTGTCCGGCGTATTGAGAGGTACCGAATGTATTGAATTGGGGTGGTATGACTGGACCAACAGATGGTTGTTGGAATAGATCTACCGGGTTCACATATTGCGGTTGGGGCGGCGGTACTGGTTGAGGTTGTTGTACGTGTTGCTGACTATTGAAAGCCTGCGCATAACTATTGAAATTCGGGATCACCTGCGGATAGACGACTGGCTTGCCATATTGGTATGGCGATTGCGGCGACTGCACAGAATTGATGTTATTGTATAGAAACTGCGGCGGTTGAATGGGCTGTTGAGGATGTTGGCGTGGAGGTTGTTGCTGCAGATATTGCGGAGGATAGTGACCGTTATGCGGCGGTGGATAGCTCATCGCCCCGGAACATAGAGTATACTCATCGATTCTTTATTCACCAACGACGAAGGCCCGTCCGATGCTGTTTGTGTCTTTTCTCTTCGTCTTTACTGTCGTCTTTCGCGTTGCCAAAAGATCGTCGACGGTTCGGAGAAACTGCCGGGCGGTCGGACCGATCATCACGTGGGATCGGGAAGGCATGTGAAGTACCTGGGGTCTCTGGGGCGTATGAAGTACGGAGTAGAAATTCTAGTTCTTGGGATAATTTGAGGCTATATTCGCATTAGGCTGCAGTGAACAGAGTATTTTATATGTAATCGAGGCATTCGATTGCTATCTACAAGAAGGGATATTCCCAAACTATACAGAACGATGCATACATCCAAAGAGCAAGGGAAGGGAGAAGAACAAAATCGACAAGATACACAAAACAGAACGCCAAGCTCGCCATAACCTGTACATCGACTCATCACCCTGGTCGCCAATTATATCATGTGTATGGAAGAATATAGTTGGTTGAATGATTGATCATTCACCGCAGAGTCAATTATGTCCATTCCCAGAGACGGTGGTCCCTCGGGAGGAGGGTGCTCGCGGACCGTCCAGGGACACATTTCGCTGCAAGTATCAATATTAACCGATGGTGCAGCAGGATGTATTCTCTGATTTGCCCACTCGGAATCAGGGACCGGGGAAGTGCCACCGAGACATCGTTGGATCCAGAAGAAGTAGTTCGCTCGGTCTGAATCGCTGGAATATTTTGGCTGTTTGTACGGACATTTCAGCACGGCATTACAGGAATTGCAGATGGATATTCTCTTGCAGGAAGAGCAAATCTCCCTAGGAAGACGACAGACGGAGGTTTGGCAAGAACTGGCAAGCCATAGGTCGACAGACCGGTGTGCACACCCGAATCGCGGTGTCATGTTCTCCTCTTTCCCCAGTTGACCTGCCTCAATTGAAAGGCGGTACTCGGTTCGTATTTGAAGTTTATTATCTTGATCCAACTCGGGGTAAATGCTGATATTCAATACTGTCGACCCATAATCCTGCGTGCAGGAATGCCAACAGAAACGTTCTTTGACGCCGTTTCCGAACTGTGCATTTAGGAAACCTATCGATTGCCGTCGCAATTTCAGAAGCTCAACGATGTCCATCTTATCCTGGAAGGTCAACTTTCTGCATGGGCACAAGTCGACTACACCAGCCAGTTCGCCCAGATTGCAGACGCGGTCTTCCGGTTTTCGTTTCAGTTCTCGCGAGGTGAACGCAGTCTTGCGGTGAAGCTTCAGACATCCAGAACATGCTTGCCATTTGTGATCCTCCAGCATGCCGATAAATTGCCATCGGGGGGTAAGGAAGTTGTGTCCGTTCCGGTAATGGTGAAAGAGAGGTGCGAAATCTCGACTGAAATGAAGTGATTCATTCTCGAAGACTGCTCCCGAAATAAAAAAGAGACTCTTGCAAGTGAGCGCTAGAGATGCTTCTGGGACTTCAGTTAAATGTGACACGATCTCCAGCAGCAGCTCTATGGGCAGCTCCAAAAGATGACACCGGCCGGAGCCATTTCCCTCACCAGTATGTCCACTGCCTTGGTTCCGTAGCCAACGAGCCATTTTCATCACGATCTTCAATTTTTCTCCAGAACGTCGAAGACTATATGTCATGTTGTTCGGATAGCTGCGCTTGGTTCATGTGGTCGGGCAAGGGGGGCAAACAAGGATTCTTTGTCTTCCTTTCAACAGTCGGACGATTGGACGATATGCGATAGTAATTTTTGTTGTTAGATATTGACACTGAATCATGGATGCGACTGGAATCGGTCGTTGTGTCGCAAGCTTTGAAGCTGCATGGTGCGATGGACAAAGAAAAGATAAAAGGACATAATGGTTTCTTTGGAGACGAGCACGAGAAGAAAGGACCTTTTAGACCCTGACAGTCATTGCCGCAAAAGGTTGTAGCAGTTGCGCGAAAACGGCGCACGCGCTTGGGTCACAGTAGTGTAGCAGATGCTATCAGTATTACATACAACGCCATGTGGAATCCCAGTCCGACCCAACGCCTCTTACTTTGAGGCGACATGTTCAACACCCAAACTGCATCCGACATAAAAGGTAAAATGGTTTCATTGCAGGTTTGGTATCGCGAGAAGCAGGATTTCCTTTTCTGGTAAGGATTAAGTTTCCTCTTGACGTTTTCAAGCGGCCATGACTTTCCGCATCCGGAGAATTTCTGACGGTTAGCATTGGGTTTCGCATACGGGAAAAATAGTATGTAAACAATGTTTATGCAAGATGACGGTTTCAGCAGCTAGGAGAATCAGTTGACAATAACTGCTGACACGCAGGAGAAAATTTAGTTTAATCCTCTGCGCAGAATCAAATGACCCTTCCATGACAGCAGGGCATAGAGAATCACGTGCAAGTGGCTGGTGGAAAGATAGAACCATGTGATTGTGGCGATATGTGGCTGATAAGAGATAAGATTTTTGTCAGCACTTCCCGATTGGGCACTGATACCGAGGCTGAATGGAAATCATTGAGATAGTTTAATATTTCCCTCTATTCTCTGGAATTCTTTCCTGTGTACGATTCTCATCATTATTATAGATTGCATACTATCAGTGCTTTTGTTCAATTGCAATATAGGCCATGAGCTTTGCAGATCTCCAGGACTATCTTCTTAGTTCGCTACCACTTTCAACTCTACTTTGTGGGCTTATCACCATGGGCTTGCTGTCGTGGCTTCGTCCGCGGGGACGGATTTCGTTCTATCATGCGAAAGATAATAGTCTCCTGCTCACCAAAAAGTCTGAAAAGGCCGGTGCCGAGGAAAAAGTGACTTTCACGGACATCTGTCGTGAAGCAACACCAGCAAAATGCAACCTGAACCCGTTTTTGTTTAATGGCCATCTGCAAACTGCCTATACTGCTATCAAGTATGATGGCGTCCCGGTATACTACAAGCGAACGATGTTTGAGTCCGACAACCCTGCATTTAGCGGACAGTTTGCAATGGATTTCGTTGTGGAGCCGTACGAAATGCCCAAAGACGACGTATTGGTTGACAGCGAGAGAAAATACACACAGCCATCGGGTCTACCTGTACGGACGTCATTCTTCTCGGAAGATGAAGTTGCTGCACTGCCATCGGACGATACGAAGCCTATGCTGGTGACTCTGCACGGCCTCAGCGGCGGTTCACATGAAATTTACTTGCGCCATGTCCTTCATCCGCTGATCGCAGATGGAAATTGGGAAGCGTGCGTGGTTAACTCTCGAGGCTGCGCACAAACCAAGATCTCTACTGGAGTCCTTTACAATGCTCGTGCTACCTGGGATCTTCGCCAGGCTATCAAGTGGCTCCGGAAAACGTATCCCAATCGCCCTCTGTTCGGAATCGGATTCTCGCTTGGTGCTAATATTCTTGCAAACGTAAGTTTCTATTGCTGTTTGCTATCGATGAATCATTTATATATACTGATGATGATGCAGTACCTTGGTGAGGAGGGTGAAGCCTGTGAGCTGAAATCAGCCGTACTCTGCGCTAGTCCTTGGAACTTGGAAACTTGCTCTCTGAACCTGCAGCGGACCTGGCTAGGCATGGAAGTGTACAGTAAGACCATGGGATCCAGCATGAAACGACTTTTTGAACAGTACGTCAACCGTTTTCTCCACACTGTTCTGTCGACTAACCTCTATCAGCCATGTCGACGCAATCAGCAAGAACCCGAGAGTGGATATCGAAGCAGTGAGGAGAACCACTTATCTGCACGAGTTTGACCTGTATGTCCCTCGCATTCAATGAGGAAATAACCACTAACTCTAATTGTTTCACAGGGCCATTCAATGCCCTACTTGGGGCTATCCAACGGAAGGTGCCTACTACCGTGACGCTACTACAACCGATTCCTTGCTCGCAATAAGGATTCCATTCCTGGCTATTCAAGCAGAGGATGACCCGGTACGTCTATGGCTGCCTCTTCTACTAAAAATAAAAATAAACAACAGCAACAGCAACAGCAACAACTAACATCAAGCAGATTGCTTGTCGCGAAGGACTCCCGTTCCACGAGATTCAGCGCACGCCTTATGGAGTCATGATGACTACTTCATGGGGTGGTCATTTGGGATGGTTCGAACTCGGAGGTGAAAGATGGTTTGTGAAGCCGGTATGTACAGCTCGACTCTATTTTGTACTTCGTTCAATTAACACAACTAGGTAAACAACTTCTTTAACAAGATGGCCAAGGAAATTGACCTTTCATCTCCCTCTGTCGTGCAAAACCTAGACCTACTGCCTGGACATATCATCAACCACAGTGATCCGATCAAGGATCCCGACACAGCGCCTAGGCCCGAGTTCAATCCCATGCGCCGCAGGATGAACATGAATATTGACGTATAAAATATGTGACGTGCATATGCATTACGAAGATCTAGCTTTGTTTGTTCTGTTTTAGAGGATTCATGATGCACAGCGCCATTCAGTATATAGAGGCATAGACCGGAACGCCAGAAGCCAAACCCATCTAAGTACATAGTCTTTGGTATAGACAAGAAACATAGAACGAAACATAGAACGCAAAACAACTTTTGAATTTTACACCCCTCAAGCAAAAGCAACGCTCTTCCTCTTTCCCTTTTTCTCTTCTGTTGTAGACTTGGATTTCGAGTCTTCTTTGTCGTCACCCTTGCGCTTCTTGTTACGGATCGAATCTTTGACGTTGTCCTGTCGACGGACGCGTTAGCGTATCAATTAGTTGAATAGAAAGGGAATGAAACATACCAACTTCGACTTCTTCTGCGCCTGCCTTGCCTCTGTCTCTTTAATCCTCGCTTGCCGGATCTCCTCCAACTGACGAGCCTTCATCATCTTCGACTCGATCTGTCCCTCCTTGTCCGCATTAACCATCGCCATAATCGTCATCATACCCTCCTAAACCAACAGTTAGTATCCATTCCGTAACTCATACCCATAAAAAGAAAAAGAAAAAAAGTTCCCCATTGGAAAAAAAAAAAAAAAAAAAAGAATGCACGCACCGCATCGTCAACAAACTTCTTTCCCTTCTTCTTTCCCTTGGGTTTAACCACGCCTGCCGGCGTAATCATATTCAACTTCGGTAGATCAAGCTCGTCCTCTGTATACTCGCGCCTCTGCTTCTTCTTCAATTGGGAAGGCTCGGTGCGGGCTTTGGCTTTGACTTCTTTAGGAGGTGGGCGCTTGACATCCTTGTTCTTGGAGACTTTGGAGGACGAGGAGGGAGATTTAGAGGATTTCTTGGAGGAGTCTTTGGTTGGTTTTGTAGGGGCCATGATGGTTGTTCTTTTGGCGCTGGTCTTGGAGAATTCGTATGGGATTGCGCGATGCGAGATTAGTGTAAACCGAGGTGAAAAACTGATCGAACGAATCTAGAAAAATAGAACACAGCTTCAACTATAAAATTAATAAAATAATACTCAAATGCAGAAAACCTGAAAACAATCAAATCCTTCGCATCCAAAACCGCCATCTCAATCTTGCGAAAGAAATTTTTAAAACAGGAAGGCGGTCAACCTTCACCACCCGCCAGCCGACGGACCTCCATCCCATCACCACCGTCCAACGCCAACACCACCCTTCTCTTTCACGCCAGAAACCGAACCTGCTCTGCAAACTGTCATTCGATAATGACCATCAACCCGACTTACCTTGCGCAGCGCACGCGCTCCTGTACGTGCCCCTTCCAGAACCTCAAACCGGGAAACGAAATGCCCTTAGAAATTGCTGCAATGTCAATGGACGAGAGGGATTGGTTGAGCTAATGGGTGCAACTGGATGGGATTTTTAGCTGCGAGCTGGAATGATGCGAAGTATCGTGTGCTGAAGTCGTACCGGGAGTGGCTTCGTGCGGTTAGTTTCTCTTTTTACTTGTTTTGGGTGCTATATAATATGGGGAATGGGGGTTGCTTGCTATGGACATTGGCTAATGGCTATGAACAGTCCCCCGAAATCCAAACAATGTACTCCCTGAACATGCCCGTCTCCGCCATCCGAACCAAGGTCCGTCAGGAATTCGAGAAGCACCGCTACGTCCAGCAGCTCAGCGCCGTTGATGTGCTGTTGTTCAAGAGCCATGCCGAGTTCCAGGTCAGCCAGCCCCCGAACTACACCCGGAGAACTTGTTATTAATAACCTGTAGGAAACACTCAACTTCTGGAAGCAGCTTTCACACGTGATGAAGTACTTCCGGCCAGAGGAGAGCCCTGGTGCGCGGTTACCCCCCAACTTTGTGTCTGGGTTCTTGGAGGGCCGCAATTAGATTAGATATCTTGAATGCGGTGAAGTTTGCATTGGGATTGTGTTATGGGTCGAGGGGTTATGTAAATATAGTCGGTCTAGTTCAGTTCGGTTTTCATTCAAACAAACACGTCTATGTGATGATGCAAGTCAAGTTATATCTACTAAAACAATCCGCTTATAGCCAATCCCTTGGGAAACTTTTATAAACGAGAACGCCGGGGAAACAATATTATTACATAGAAGAAAGGAAGATCACGAGGCCATCTTGTCCGCTTCAGCGGCATTAAAAGCGTCGCGCGACGTGGTGAACTTGTCCGTCACGACATCGCAGAGATCCATGAGGTCGTCGAGACCCTTTTGCAGGGCGTCGGTTGCGGTGGTTTCGTCTATAATCCATTAGCTGAATCCGCACTCTATGTATAGAGGGGAAACCTACCAGTCGTCTGAATCCGCAGATTCATCTTCTGCTCCGAAGGATGGGGGATGGTATAACCGCAGAATTCAACTTGGGAGCTATACAATGTCAATATAAAACCCCCAAATATTCAAAAACGGTAAGTGACGTACTTCTTCATGATCGAAAACCGCAACGCATTGCCCAATGTATGACCTTCGCCTTCGAACTGGAACGAAGCAGCCGTCTCGGTGGCACCAGGGAGCTGTCTTCATTAGAACCTCTCTTTATTATATCTTCAAGTAAGGGAAACGAACAACGACTATGCGCTTCTCCTCCATCTCCAAGAGATCCTCCTCCTCCTGGTATTGTTCCTGCTCCTGCGGAGCGGCATCCATCATTGACTGATCTTGGTCTTGGGAGTGCACGGAGGACGGCATTTTGATTTATATTCGGTTTATTCGAATGCGACTGCGGATTCTCGGAGGTGTAGGTGTAGTGGGCGATGAATTTTTTACGATGCGATCTTATCTCCGGCTGCGGCGGGCTCTTTCGAACGGACTTTCTGTGCTTGGGCGCGGTGAATATCTGCAATGGCCAGGCCGTTCAGGTCTAGGAGTTCCTCGATGCTATTCTTTAATTAATATGCGTCGTAGATTTAATGAAGGACCTGGTCTGATACTATGTATCGCGATGATAAAATTTCCGGACACAAAATGTTATCGATAGCAGACCGCCTTGCCTGAGGCACCTAAAAAATAACGGTAAATAACTATGGAGTAGGATAACTACTCATTAAAGAAACGCGCACCATGCTAGCTGGGAAATTACTGGGTATAATTAGAGCATGCAGTAATACTCCATTATCTTATCAACGAACGTGATCAAGGATAGTCTTGTTTCCGTGGAATTGCTTATTTGTTTGGTGAAAGTTTTCAGGGGACAACCCCTTACAGTTGCCAACTGGCTGCATACCTAGCACGAGGTGAATACTTACGTTGATACTACAGTTATGTACTCTGTACAGATACTTGTACAAAAGTTATTCTGGTCTAAATATAACTAACCAAACTCCTGGAAAGCATGATTGCGATCGACCAAAAAGGTAAACTATTGAAGCACTTGGACCAGCGGGAGTCACACATGGGAGGCATTAACTGCTGGAGCGTGCATCACAATGGGAAATCCGCTCATTTCAGGAAATTAAGAGCTGGTCATGACGGAGAGGGAAATGACAGAAGGGAACTAGACCCAATGGTTTGTACTGTCATAAATCATGTAGTATTCTGCACTCTGTACTCTATTCCTAAAGTATACCTACTCTCTACTCCGTACAGGGTTGGCGAATGGATACGGAGACAGACCATTGTCACAGCTGTAAAACCGTCCATGTCTCAGACAGACCCCTTCAGGCCAATCATCGCCAATCTCTCCGCTTCAGTTCATCTCCAGAGATCCTCTTTTTTTGGTCTCCTTTCTGAGTCTCAACCCATAACTACGGAGTACTTGTACCTGTACGGAGTCCGGCATCTCGTCTGTTAATTACTGATCGTGTTCTGTTGGACATCCTTACTTAGTAATTAATTAACCTCCTTCACCCTCCTCCCACTCAGCCTCTCTTTTTACGGTGTTTCATTTCTTTTTCTCTTGTTTCATTTCTTTTCCTCTCTCTCTCTCTCTCTCTCTCTCTTCTTATTTTATCTTTCTTGATACTTTCTACTCTCGTGTTCCCGTAACTGATCCGGTCCATTTCGCTCGCTTGTCGCTCTGGATCCTCGTCCCTCCTACCACCCCTCCCCCTCGTGCCCTGTCGGTTTCCGGTCTGTCGGTCGACCTCTCATCGCTGTCACACTGCCGCCAACCTTACTTCTAGCCGCTCGTGTGTGTTCTCTTTATTCGATTCGGATACACACGCTTAACAAGCATATTATTCCTCCCTCGCGTCCTCATTCCTTCCCTCTTCCATCAGTGCTCGTGCTGTTTCGCTGTGTTGGTATTGTTGGGTGTTGCTTTCCCCCTCCACGCCATCAACAAGCCTCACCCCGGCGTCTCAGAATTGGGAACAAGGAAAGGATATAGCCGCCGTATCCGCTCTTTGATGCTCCGCGCGCGTCTCGATATCGCTATCTCCTGGACCTAGACTCGACCGGACAATTTTCCTACATTTTATTTCTTTTTTTCTCCGGCCGACTTACAGCCCTCGTTGCATGCCCCCGTGAACGCCCCCGAGGCACAGCACCGGTCTAGATTCGTACCTGTCACAAGAATCCTCTTCTTGTCCTTCTTATATATCCGTCGAGAACACGTTCGGTTTTTCATACTTCATCGCACGTTTGTTATCTCCCTTACAACATGTCCACCGCTGTTGCGTCGGCCTCCGCGGCCCCGTTACCATCTCCGCATCAGAATCGGGACCCCAGTCCCAAGAGCTGTCCGAGCCTGGCTCCCAACTCCCATCCTCAGCCATCGACTACTCCTCCTCGTGTGTCTGTCTCTTCTCAGGATGGTTCTAAAATCTCACCATCAGAGAAGAAGCTAGTGTCTCCCTCGTCACAGAATGGAAAGCAAGCCCCCAAAGTCACCGTGAAAAAGGAGCCCCCGTCGTCCCCAGCGATGCAGTCCCAGAGCAGTCGACCGCGACCTCGCAAACTGGATCTGTCCAGTAGCCTACCTACCTCTGGGGGGTTATCTGCTCGACCACCCGGAGGTCCCATGACTGCCCGAGAGGGAGTCAGTATGCAGAATGTAGGCATCGCTTGCTTGTCTCCGGGTTTTCAGACCCACGACCCGATACTGCGGGAGCAGCTGCAACGGAGTCTTTCTGTCCGTGATCAGCAGCGATCAATCATTGAATCCCGCCTCCACAGGACCGCCAAGGACGACGGATCCGATAGCCTCAAAACCTCTGATGGATTTGGGGCCAAGGGCTCGAAGCGAAGGCCTCCACCCGGCTTGTCCATCGTGCCTCCATCGGCAGCCCAGTTTGCCAACGAGCGAGTGGTACAGTCTGCGCCGCTGAACCAGACTTTTACTGGCCGGCACCAACCTCAACCACTGACCCGTCATATTGCCAACCAAAGTCCAACGTTGGGTGCAACATCTCACGTCCACCATGTCCCCGCTACCCAAACCAACAACCGGCTTCCTCCGCTGTCTGACGTCTTTGGGTCTGATACCTTGGGATCGCGTGAGAGCCGTGCTGCGCCCGCTTATTACCCGGCTGCAGCGTCAGCTTCGACTTCGTCTCACTCCAACAACCTACCTGCCATGCCGTCCCCGGGTATCCCGGCTAGTGCCACGCAGGCTCGGTCTCGTGAGTACCGTTCGGCGGAGGAGGCAGTCCATGAACTTTCTGGTGGACGCGAAGACCTCCTTCCCCGTATTGTCCATTACTCCAGTCAACTCCAGACTCGTTCCCCACCATCGAAGACACCAGCTCAAAACGGTGTGGCCCCCGTCTCTGCTCACATCGCGCCGCCACCACAACCTATGTTGCATCCAGAGGGAACGGCCCGTCGCCGTCCTCGCAGTGAATATGAACAGGACAACGGTAGCCCTCCGCTGGGCCATGGTCCGGATCACTATCGACCAAACCCAGCGATGGCACATGGTGCCAATACCGCTTTCCACGGTCCATTTGGGGCTGGAAGAGACTCGCCCGAGACACAGCGACGCAAGAAGGAAGAATTTTTGAGTCTTTGTTCTCGTGCGTGGGATCTGTTTCACTCTTAACGTGACCTAAGTATATATGCTCTGTTGGATAAAAGCTGGCCAGGAACAGAACTTGGACAAGTACCTGAGCTAGGTTCCTGCGAGTCATCTAGACATTTTGTCTTTTGGTTATCAGGAAGTACCACGGGTGCGGATCTGATATCCTGCATTAAAAGAATCGCAATAATTATGGACTCGAGGGTCTGCGAGTTGGATATGATATGAAAACTGAATGACCATTGATATGAACATGAACAAGCACATCTGAAATTGGAGGACTTTCAGTTGTCCTATCTTTTGCGTTTATCATTTACCTTTCTTTGCACTGCAGCTATATCATGCAAGTTGCCTCATCTGTTTTTTATTTTTTATTTTTGGTCGTTTTCAGGCGTCAGGTTTTCAATTTTTATTTGTTGACATTTGAGATTTATGTTCGTCTTCCATTTGCTTTTATCATTGGCGTTTTTCCCCTGGTTCAACTTCCTACTGCCATATACCATCAATATCTTCTTGTTTCATTTTTTTTTTTTCCCCTGGTCTTTAAAATTGCAATTGGACCGAGTACTACACATCTTTATAATTTTCTCTTCGAGCTGCATAGGCGCCTTAGCGCCTTTTGGGATGTTTTCGGAAGGAGGATTGCATGGAGAGTCTTATATTTTGTATATTGAGTAATGGGAACTGTATTTTCGAATTCAACGAAATGGATATCTCAACTTTTTCAAACATACACTTCAACATGTACAACGAAGCAAAGCCCATTTATGCAGCACGTTTCCGCTTCATTCCACCACCCTTCCTAGACGGAGGAGGACCACCCTCAAACCCTCTCCGTTCCATAGGCATCTCCTTGATCTCCTTCGAAGCCACCTTCTTCCTTCTTCTCTCCAACGCCTTCGTCCGATCCTTCGAGTTCATCTCATTATACTTCCGCATAATCACCTCCTTCTTCAATTCCGATTTCTTCATATAGTACGGGTTACTCTTCTTCCCCTCCTTAATTAACTCCTTCTCCTTCCTCTTATGATCCGCCAGAACCTTCTGCTCGCGCTTCCGGTTCTCAATTTCCCTCAACTTATCTGTCGCAGACCGCACCTGGTTCTTCAACCTCTCCTTCTGGAACGGATCCTTTGTCTTGGCCATTTGGTCTTTCAGGTCCTTGAGTTCCTTGGCACGGTACTCGTTTAGGAATCCGTAGGCTTTTTCGGAGGAGTCGACGGACATGTGCGTGTTCTTGCCGACGACTGTGGGGTCGAAGCGTGGATCGCGGGAGCGGGCTGTAGCGGGGGGCTCGATGATGGTGCGTCTTCGGGTGACAGCGCGTTTGGTGGATTGGACCATGGGGGCGTGTTTGGAGGAGCGCTTTTCGAGGTCTTTCTTTGACGACTTCGAGGATGAGGAAGACTGTTTTTGTTCGCGGGCTTCGCGGATGCGCGCGCGGATGTCGTCGAGGGGGTTGGCGGGATGGGTGTCTGCGTCTTCTGCGGTTGAGGATTTTGCGTGCTTGGTTTTTCGGGAGGGCATGGAGGATTGGGCTTTTGCGAGAGCGCCGAAGGAGATGTTGTTTAGGGAGGATTGGATGTCTTCTTGGTCGTCTTCCTCGTCATCGTCGCCATCATCGTCATCGTCATCGTCGTTCATCTGGTATAGTTAGGTTTTTTTATTCTGTAGAACGGATGAACATGACTTACCATTTCATCCCCTGAACCCTCGTCATCTCGTTCTTCATCCGACTGATCTGAACCTTCGTCCTGCTCTTGCTCTGACCCATATCCCTGCGAGTAAACCTCCTCGTCATTACCATCATCATCAGGCTTCGCTCGCATGCGGCGATTGAGAAGATCAGAAATCGCCATTTTCAATAGTCTCTTCTCTTCCTTTCTTCGATGAATCCGGAAAATGAAGGCAATGGCGGCGGCGAACTCGAAGGAAAAAATAATACTGCCAGTATCCACGGCGGTGAATCCTTATCAAAGTCTCCCATTGGCGCATCGCCGATCAGTCGCGTATTTTTTCTCCAGATTGATAGACTTCGCCTCCGAGTGTTGGTCAATTCAGCATTTACTAGCGTTTTTTTCCTTTTTCGTCTATTCGTTATTCACTTGCTTATAATTTGATACCCATGACTCCGGGGCTCAGGTCCCATCCATTTATTCTATTTTCGCCCAATTTTCGACATCTTTATTCGAGCCGGATGCTCCAGCGCGGGGTGTTTAAGGTACGACTAAGCACTGCATTATTACCCAGGGGTAGTCGCGATTTGAATAACTAATAAAATCTATAGCATATAGCAACGCTAACATCTTATACGCGCTTAACTCTGCCGACAAAATCATTCTTCTCCCAAAATCAGAGCGCCAGAATCTCTTGCGACGGACCGATGAATCCCCCGAATTCAGGCCGGGGGAGGGCGTTGAGATCACATACTCGACCGGGTGGTGGACAGGATAATGGCCATGGTAGTGGGATTTGCGATGCTGGGCGTGGTAGGGGTTCCTCGAGAGGATATCGCCCTCGTAGGGGAAGAGGGGGAGGAGGGTCTCAGAACTCAAGGAGAAATGGAGGCGCTACAAATGCGGAGGGAAGTGCTGGACCTGCGTCTGATAAATGGCGTAGTCAAAGTCAGCCGCATAATGACGCGAACCAAGGTTGGGGGCCGACACAGGCAAACGGGAGTGAGGCTACAACTCCAGGCGCATTTACAGGGTCGCCTGTGAATGAACAATCCATGCTGCCGTTCATACAGTTTCCTTTATTACCGGGGATAGAGCAGTGGAATCCCATGAACATGCACTTCCTACCACCACAATTCCTGATGAACCCTAACGTCCCGAACCCGATGATGATGCCGCCAATGTTTAATCCTACGATGCCGATGTTCAATCCTTTCAATCCTATGAATCAGGTACCTGCGTCTGGAGGGTTTCCGGACATTATGCCTGCAAAAAGACAGAAGTCACCCACTCCTGCACCACCGGAGGCAGCGGAAATTTACCTACAGCAAGCATCCTTGCCACCAACACCGCTATCGTCAAACCCTCAACCCCTTCTCATCATCCTCGACCTTAACGGAACCCTCATCTACCGCAAACACCGCAAGTTCCCGCCCTCGTTCGTCAAACGTGCAGGTCTGGATAATTTCCTCGACATGCTCATGCGGAAACATAAAGTCATGATCTGGTCCAGCTCACAGCCCCAAACGGTCAAAGCAGTCTGCGAGAAACTCCTCACCGACGGACAGCGCAAGCGACTCGTCGCGGAATGGGGACGTGATAAATTTAACCTCTCCAAATCGCAATATAAAAACAAGGTGCAGGTGTACAAGACTCTCGAGACGGTCTGGGCAGATGATTATATCCAATCTACTTACCCGGGCAAAGCGGACAAAGCAGGCAAACGGTGGGACCAGAGCAACACGATCCTCATCGACGACAGTAAGCTCAAAGCACTTAGCGAACCGTTCAATATCCTCGAGATCCCAGAATTCACGAATGCACCTGTCCCGGGCGTCGATGAAACCACAATCTTCCCAAAGGTGCTTGCTCGTCTGGAGAAATTAGCCAAACATGATGACGTGAGTAAGATGATGCGCGTTTGGAACGATCAGGGACAGTGTGTTCTCGATTTCGAGCCTGAAGATGGTCATAGCCCTAAAGGTACCGTCACAAGTACGATTACCTCTTCGACGTCTGATGACACATCAACACCACTTGACCCAATCGAAGCTCGCAAACAAAAAAAGAAAGCTCGCAAATGGGAGCGGAAAGCTGCAAGACGCGCTGCGTCGGTGAATTCGGGAAGCCATACCGGTACTCCTATGAATGCGCTGAACACATCTGCATCTGCCCCTGCAGCACAGGCTGAACGCTCGCCATCTCCTGTTTCTGTCTCTGGTGGGTCCATTCAATCGGAAAATCATCTTTTGGATAAGTTAGAGGAATCTCTGAACGTTTAAGGAACATATTTCCAGACGCGCATTGTTCATGGTGTACATTATTTATTACGTCGCATCTAATTATTATTTGGATATCCAACCACCACAACCACTCAATCCCCCCACATATCACCTCAACTCACATCATCCTCAAATTACATACCTCCCGGCATCCGCCTCTAAACCCCCGGCTCGCCCAGCCCAGGAACCAAAAGCGACCTCTGCCTCTCCATCCTACTCCTAAAAATGGAAAGAACTTCGCAACCCCACCACTCGGCCCATACGTATCCTCAATTAGGTACACGGTAATGCGCCACCACGCCAGTATCGCGAGAAAAATCCAGAAATAGGCCGCAGCTTTCATGCCCGTGTGCACGGAGGTGCCGTAGGCGAAAAGGCAGCAGGCGATTATGGAGCCGATGGCGGGAAAACTAGGACTAGACAGAGGACTATGTCGCGGTCTGTTGCTGCGATTGCCTGTTGTTGTTGTTGTTGTTGTTGTTGTTGTTGTTGTTGTTGTTGTTGTTGTTGTTGTTGTTGTTGTTGTTGTTGTTGTTGTTGTTGTTGTTGTTTTTTTGGTGGTGGTGGGTTATTTGGTGGTTAAGGGGGACTGGGAAAGGGAGGACGTCCGCCGGATCAAGTAAAGAAAGTTAGAATGAAGAACCACGATGCTAGCTCGGGGAAATGCTCATCAATCGGGTGTGGTGGGAGTGCACCAGTTGCCTTCACATCACACATTATTCCTAGTTCCCTTCCATTCCATATACACCTAGGGGGTTTAGATGCGCACAACCAACAAATAAAGCAACTCAGTACTCATCCAAACACCCCCTCCCCAAAGTGCATGAATAACCATGACCAGCGTATCTCTCGCTGCATACCCAAAAAACGCAGCAACAAACTGCCCCACCCCACCCCAGAACGCGACAAACGAGAAGAATATCAGCGGAGTCTCCATTGCCCCACCAGCGCGCTATATAGGTTGCTGTGATGAAGGTGGAGCCAGCGAGGCCGAGGGCCGCGGGGGATGCGATTGGGTGCAAGAAAATTATGACTCGGGGTTCACGGGCGAGGATGTCTTGGATTTTGTGGAATTCGGAGGTGTCGAGGGACATTTCGTCAGTTTGTGTTGATATTAGGGGTTGATATTTTGATTAGGGCATGGCTAGTATAGAGAAGCATGGTTGCTAATACTCAGGATAGAGGTATTCTTGTTATATATTCTATCGGTATGGTTTTGACGTCAAACTTCCATAGGGTTATTTGAAGTTACATAGACTCTTGATCCGCAGCATCCGCGACAAGAAAAAAGGTAGTCCATCCATGCACCAGGGCAATTGAATTCGAACCAGTATTACCTAACCAAGGAAAAATCCTACACAGCGGAGTCATGCTCTACAGGCAGCTAGATGAGCCATTGTGGCTGACAATGCGGGATCATAATTGCTTGGTTCGAAAACCTTCATTCAACATCATAGCGTGAGACATCAACGCGTAAGATTTTCTATGCTCTCGACGAGAAAACACATCAACACATTTCATCGTGGACAGCGTAAACCAAGACGCAGTGAGATCAGGCGGGATGACGTAGAGAACCTGACCAACTGGTCCTGCAGAACTTTTTGTATCTCATAACTGGCCCCCACGGGTATAATAATCATCATCTCAAGAAATATGTTGAGGCCAAAGTCATCATCGATAAATCAAATGAAAGAAATGCTACGTCTTAGTGCATTCCTCTATTTGAGGACGTGACCGTCAACCCAGGGGTACTCCTTGCCTTCAACGACAACAGGGACGTCCCAGGCCCACAAGTCCTCAACGGCCTTGCGGTCCTCCTCCTTGGTGTGGTCGAGCTTGGTGAAAGCGTAGCTCTCATAGTCGGGACCAACTTCGAAAGCCGGGGCCCACTCTTGGCCACGGATAAGGTAGACACCGCTGATGAGGCAGTCGTAGTTGGTACCGTACACGGACTGAGCACCGAACATGTATTTGCGGGAGGCCTCAAGACGAGTCTGGGTACCACCTGTAAAAACAGTTAGATAGGTTCAAAATGAAGGTTCAAAAGGCGGGTACGTACCAATCAGGTTGTTGGCCATGAAGGTAAGCTTGAGCTCCTCGTTGTATTTGTAGTCAACCTTGTACAGAGAAAACTCCTCGGGGTTATAGTTCTGCCAGAACCAAGGGAGAACGGTAGGACGAGTGTCCTCGTTGGAGTAGAAACGCTTGAAGTCCTCAAGGTTGATGGAAGAAGCGTTGCCAAGAGCAGCAAGAGGGTGCTTGGGCTTCTCAGCAGGCTTCTCCTCAGCAGCGGGAGCAGGGGCAGAGGCAGCCTTGGGGGCAGCCTTAGGCTTCTCCTCCTTCTTGGGGGGAGTGTACTTGATGCACTCCTCAGCAAAGACAGGGTTGGGGACAACAGCCTTGAAGACGGGCTGGTCGATGATAGTGTTGTACCACCGAGTGACGGCGGGGTTCTTGGAGCGCCATTCCTTGTCAAGGACAGTAGCGAAAGCGCGGGTGAGGAGGGAGGCGGCAAAAAGGTCAGCCAGGGTGACACGCTCGCCAACGAGGTAGGTGTTGGCAGTGAGGTGAGACTCAAGGACACCGATGGCCTTCAGAGCAGCCTTGGCAGCCTCGTCGACGGTCTTCTTGTTGTAGCCGTCAAGGCCAAGAAGAGGACGATACCAGCCACCGAAGCGGGGCAGAACCTCAGCGTTGATGAAGGACAACCAGCGGAGGATTGAAGCGTAGTCCTGCTTGGTCTTACCCAAGAGGGTGGTCTTCTCGTTCTGGGAGGTCACTTAAAGTAAAGTCAGCTTCGAGCTTCTCCAATAACGCAATACGTTAAAAAAAAAAAATGCCAAAAGAAAAAAAATCCCCTGAAAGCGGGGGTAGCAAAAAATTTCAGAAGTGAGTTCTCAACATAGTTATTTGTTATTCTGCCAGGGATAACTAGTAAAATAAAACATTCATCATATAAAGGGGGCAAGGAATTCAACAGAGCAAGAAATTTCTTCAAATACATACCGTAGACAACCAGAGCAATGACCTCGGACAGAACAAAGCCATTGGCACCCTCGAAAGCGGGGATCTTGCCCAGAGGGTTGACCTTGGTGTACTCAGCAGACTGGTTGAAAGCAGCAGCCGAGTTAGCCTCAGTCTTGACCAGCTCGATCTCCAAGTCGTTGCTCTTAGCAGCGACTTGGACGGCGATGGTACGGCCGTTTTCCTATGCATGAAGCGGGTTAGCGTGGTTCATAGTGATATAGAGAAAAGAGCAGAAAGAGTATCACGTACAGGAGCACCGTAAAGCTTTCCGAAAGACATTTTGAATGATTTTGATGGGAGAGAAGAAAAAGAGAAAGAGGGATGAAGCTGTCGAGGGGTTGAAATTTTGTGATTCAGATGGGGCCCGGGTCCGGCGGAATGTTTGGCCGCGCACGTGAGCGGTATTCGAAAAACCTCTGGATGGATTAATGTTTGCTTGCCGGAGCTGCCAGTCAAACCGTGGTATACGTCTTTTCGCCAGGGCCCTTGTCCTTATTATAACCGCATCCCGCTGCTTCTGTCAGCCTGAATTCGTTCAGTATGGCTTGGCAGAGGCCCAGTTGTGTCGTTCAAGCGATGCAATTGCTTCGACTGCAACCTCTCCGGTCCTCCGCATCCCCTCTTTCTCCGACTCACACACAGTTCCTCTTGCGGTCCCAAAAGGCCAATTCTCGCGGCTATGCGACAGGGACATCGTCCGATTCCTCGGTACAGGTGGTGCCCGAGGCTACACCAGCAGCACCTGCAATCGACTTCGACCAATTCCCGTACCGACCTGCCCGGATTGTTCCCGCGTCTCCATCATACTTTTCTGGAAGCCCCAAATTCATCGATCACCTGTTGAGATTGGAGAACCTGCTGGCCGAGAATGAACGTTTGCCGAAAACATCGCCTATGCACGTCCCGCGAAAGGCCTGGCTCAAATTGGCTCAGTTCCGCGACTTCGTCGGTGAGCCTGTGCCAACGAAGAAATACAAGAGCTTGATCAAGATTCTCCAGCGAATCAACCGGATCAGACCGGAGATCATTCCTGATTATGCGAACAATATAATTAACGAATACGTCCGTCCTGGAAACCCGTACGGAGTCAAGCCGGCACCCCCAACATTGGATGAAATGGGTCGGGCCCGTGGTCGTGGGAAGCGAAAGACTTCGTCCGCCGTTGTCTACTTGGTCGAAGGTGAAGGCGAGGTGCTTGTGAACGGGAAGACTCTGTCGGAGGCATTTCCGCGCGAGCATGACCGGGAGAGTGTGGTGTGGCCGTTGAGCTGTACCGAGAGACTGGACAAGTATAACGTGTGGGCTACTGTCAAGGGAGGCGGTACCACCGGACAAGCAGAGTCCATTACATTGGCCCTTGCTCGGGCATTGCTGGTTCATGAGCCTGGTCTGAAGCAAGCTCTGCGGAAGGGTATGTTCTTCCCTTTGTATATGAAGTTGACATTAACTAACCTGATCACACAGCTGGTACGGTTACCGTCGACGCTCGTCGTGTGGAGAGAAAGAAGCCCGGTCATGTCAAAGCCCGCAAGAAGCCCGCCTGGGTCAAGCGGTAAAGGCAAATGCATGTTCTTTATGTCGTTTCTTTTCTTCCTTGCTGTACTATTATCCCGCGTTTTCGACGAAAGTATATCCTGTATTCAAAAAGCATCCCGGACTTTGTTCTGGGACTCGCATATTCTATGGTAAGAGCAATGTAACTATGGCGTTGGTTTATGACTTGGATTATCTGTATGTGTGATGGTGAATACAAAATATTCAACAATTAGGAGCCTCGAGGGATTTCCCAGATTAAGGTATGCATTTGAGGATCGAAAGAGTGCCATGTGTACAATTCAGCCGCCTTGTCTATGGTTCCATAAACAACACTCCAGGAGATTCAATGAAATCCCTCATAGACTCGGCCATACATAGACATACATTCATGCAGTCAAGGCACAAAAACAGACGAGATCCACTGATAATCATTAGCACTAACTAAACAAGCATGCATTGTAATGTATATTATGCTGAATAGTCACAATCTGTGCAATGTCCATCAAATTATCATCCGCATGTACTCTACATGACGCAAAGCACAACGCATTCGCCATTCCCGGATTAAACAACCAAGGTGGCGATACTCAGCGCTGTCACCTCAGATCAATTTGCAACAGGTCGTTCGAGGCTCGCAGTTTCATCCTTGTGAGGAAGTAGTCTTAAAATGATGCAAAGGATGAACAATGCTGCAGCACGAGGACACTCAAAATCCCACTCGGCAACCTCCGTACTGCGTATTAAGCTGCATACAAGTGGATAGTTTAATTAAACTAGGCCGAAGGATCGATAAATGGACGCCCTAGGCTCTACCCGGCGATGTACTTTTTGCTCCCGCTCCTACTTCTCATCTGAATGCGACATGCTGATCTGGAGAATTGGAACTCAATGTCAGCCGTGCGGCCCCTGCACGGAATAGTCAAATAAACTTTCCGCATGCTTGGACGCGGCCGTGGCCGTGAAGATTATTGATTAGCATGGCTCGGCCTGGCCTGGTCTGGGCTGATGATGTGCTCTAGTGTGAGTCTGCTGCCCGGTAGATCCCGATGGTTCGTTGCTAAAGTACGAATGACTCCCTGTCAGTATGGAGTACAAGTCGGTTTTGAAGTAGACATGCCCCAATGGTTCGCTACAAGAGCGAACTGTGCACTGCACTGCATGCACCACAGTCGAGGATCTACAGCACGAGCCACTGCTGACAGATACCTTTCCCCAAATGGGAAGCAAAGCGATCACAATGACAAAAACCGGGTCGTACAAAACCCGAGCTGAGAGTCCGGAGGACGGCTGTCATCGTATCATTGGCTCATGAGTCTGGTCCTGAGGCTATTCCTATTCGTCCAAATAGAGTGGGATATGTATTCGGGTTTTGATCTGGACTGCCTTTTTGGGCATGACATGGCATGATGACATGAGTCGTTGCCAGCAATTGCCCTTTTTGAATTAGCATTCCATCCTCTTTAGACTGCAACGGACGAGACAAAGCGACGTCCAGGCCTTTTTGTTTTTGAGCTAGTCTAAGCATAACGTCGTGTCGCGGGCCGTCATTGTCTCCCATGAAGGCTACCAGGATGGTTAACGTGGTACCAGTAGCAACAATCAGGATCAGAGTACATGTGTGGCTATCGGCATGACTGGCATTGACTTAGCGTGCTAGTGCCTGATAAGGCAGTGCAATAGTCACTGTATTGTGTACGATGTGTGCGTACAAAATAGTAGTACCCATACTAACAGAGCATTTCTGGACTTTGGGCGGCGTGCCTGACGAAAATCGCAAGCCTTACTGCGTATGGGAGGAGTCTAATACGGCTGGCACCACGAGAGCCATTCCGGGTCAATTGTGCATGAACAGGATTCATTTGTGGATATAAGGGAAATTTCCGCTGATCGTACATCGTACTTTACAGCGGTACAAGGAGATCCCCACCTCGAGCCCAACGAGCTGGAAAATCTCCTATACGGGGCCGCAGCAGGCAAACGAATAGATCGGGGTTTGTAATGCTCTGTATTCTGTATTGGCCCCAGCCAAACAGCAATCAGATCGGTTCTGGGTCTCCGATTGAGACATGCGATTGAGATGCAAGAGAACGCTGGATTTCCTTCCTCCGCGCGCTTGCTGTTCCAGAGATCGCTTCCTCCTGTCTGCATCTGTACGTAATGATCCGCTGTCAGGATCACTAATACAAAAAGTACTATGATTGTTACTCTGGCCAAGGCTGTCCAACACGGTGACAGAAAACATTATTGAAATTATGAAGCTAGTTGTGGATAATCATGAAATCGCATTGGGGAGCGTGCGCAGCAGAAGGAGAGGTATTTGTATTTTGTGATCTATTTCAAGATAGTATTCGGAGTATTGGTGATGATCCTGATATTCTGCTAGCGGGCTTTTCTTTTCTTTTCTTTTCTTTCTTTTTTTGTCTTATTTTTTTAATCCTCTTTCGGTGGCCTTTCTCTGCTGTGGTTAGGCTGTTAGGAGAATAGTCCGGATGCACTTTGTATATTCTGCTCGTGTGATTGTAGCCAACAATTGCTGTAGAATAATAATTCACTTATTGGGCTGCCAACGTCAATGTTTTCTTTTCCCGCCTCAATTTCATGCTTCCGCATGCGCCATGCCCACAATACCCACGCACCATCAAGTACTAGTTCAAAGTATAGCATGTATATAGACTGGGCACCAACGGGATGGTTCTCGGGCACAATTTGGAATCAAAGCAACAAATTTCCGTATAGCTGTTTTCTCTTTTCATTTTCTAAAGTCCCAACAATTGGAATTAACTTCTCGGGAACCCACACAAGACTGACCGGTTCACCGGGTTCCTGAGCAAAGACCCAGGGTTCAATCAATATCAATAGAACAGCTGCGTGGAGACGGATTGGGAGAGGATGGACAGGTGGAGGGTTCAGCGGCATCCACTTGGTTTCTCTGGGGATCACGATCCGGAAGTCTAAGCGGATGCAGTCCCAGCAGCCACCCAGGTGTCAGTTGAGTAAAACAGCAAACCCTAGTGACGGGTCACCCTTGACAATATTATCGTTTATCGTCATTCGTTCGTTTCATTCGTTGTCTGTTGTCCACCTGTCTACTTGCTGTCTCTTGCCGTGTACCACTTAGGAGGCCTAGGAGGCTATCGTCTGTGGAATTCCATAGGTTCCAAAAAAAAGAAATAGGACACCGACAATCAATCAGACGGCGAGTCATGTTGTTGTCTGTCTCTCACAGCAGTTTGACAGGCGTTTAATTTCCTGCTTGTCGTCCTTCGATCAGAATGGATCAGTCAAAAGCACCCAACAGTGGTCCCGAGAAGTAAGAGACACAGGGAAGAAAAAGAAAACATACAGGAAGATCGAACGAGGGGCACCATTCTGTCCCTCTTTCTCTGTGTGCTTTTGCTCTTTCCATCACCCAAAAAATAATAAAAAAAAAGGGATCTTAATAGATTGACATTTTTCTGTCATTTCTTCCTTTTTTTATTAATTTATTAATTGTTTTTTGATGGCCAACTATTTTCTTTTTCTCTCGCTTTGTTCCGTTTGTGTTGCTGTTGTCTGTTTCTGCTTCTGTCTGTAAGCATAAAAAGCACACAGCAACGTCCACTGAAGATGATGCTTCAGCCTCTTCATTGTTCCTTCTCTTTCGTCTTTACCTGTGATTGATTATACCCACTTGGGGCAATTGAATAGAGCTCTCCACAGCGCTTCTTCTGTCATCCACCCGTTCCGGTTCAGCTGAAGTATATATGCTGCTGTCCTCCCCGCGGTCTGACTGCATCTTCCAAGGCTCATTCTTATGAGACGTTTTCCGGCGTATATCAAGACCCTTTTCTTCTCTCTTTTGGATCTCTTATCTTGGTGGCATTCGTTCACTTTCTGCTCTTCTCGTCGCTCTGAAGTACATTTCACTCGTGCGCCGCTTCGGTATCTCAAGGTTCGCAAGAATATCTTTCTTTTCATCTCATATTGCTTTTTCTTGCATTGTATCACTGTGCTGACGTATGTGATTTATACCAGACGTGAGATTGTCGTGGACGTTTATATCAGCTCATCCTCGAGTCACTCGCGCACGAGGGTTGTCAGTTGCGATATCAACTGAGGGGGGGGGGAAAGCTCGAAGTTCCTGAATTCAAGCGAAGAGCGTCAGCACAAAATAACCGACAAGCTGGAATCCTACGCAAGTCCTCCAATTTCCCCTCAGTCGCTTTGGCCTGTCGACTTTGATCCCATACTCAAGGGCTCAACTTTTTCCTGGGACCGGTCGAGTGGCATGGATGGCGACGGCCAGAACTTCAGGAATCATGACCAACCCATTTACCCATCGAGATTTGGAATGGGCCGGCGCGCAGTTTCCAGACAGTCTAATGGTGGTGCTACGGATCGTTTCAGACAGACTGGTGCTCTACCCTCAGCACGTGGTGATGCTACCATGCTGTCGCAAGCAACGGGGAGCGTTCAGATGCCATCTTCGTACGTGGACTATGGATACACAGACACGTCTTTCCCGGGGGGCAACCAGCTGCAACCATATCCTCAAGAACAGAACTCGCAACCGCAGCAGCAACGACAACAGCAACAACCGACATTCAGCGACTACGAGCAAGAGGTAATCTATAGCATACAGCAACAGGGTCCACCACACGACTCTTTCTCGTTCGTTCCACAGTATCCCGTACGGCAGCCCGCCGCAACAATCGAAGCGTTATCAAGCCAATTTGCTGTTCCACAGTATTTTCCGGCTGGGGAACCGACGGAAACCGGTGTTGGAGGTTTGGTTTCGCCTTACTTGAATACACATTTCCCTCCTGCTACTTATCCTCCACCAGATCCCGTTGGAAACCCGAGCGCATCGGCGCAGCCCTTTCCCACAACTATGGCGGACTTAACGAATCCTTTGAGGACAGCAGCAGGGCAGCAGCAGCAACCACCACCACCACTACCACAAGCACAGGCGCAGCCACAGCAATCAGCTGCGAATCCAGCGACAACGACATCACATTTGGAGGACGCTTATTCACAGTACCAGCGAGCCATACGAGCCACGCTGGACTACAGTCGCGAGGGAAGACTGGTAAAAGCCGGTCAATCAATTTTGGAAATCTCCGAGTGGATTTTAACTAATGCGGAACAGCTCGGTATGTTTTTTTTTTTCTTTTTTTTTCTCTTTTTTTTTTTTTTTTTTTTTTTTTTTTTTTTTTTTTTTTTGCACCGGTGCTTTTCGCCTTCTTTCATCAAAACAACCCGTCCTTTGCCCCTATACTAGGTCAACGTCCGTACGTATAAGTATATGCGGGGATCTGCTGCATATACCATTCGCGTACTAAAACCGGTGATCGATGTCGATTCATATTTATTCCCCTGAAAACCGGCTTGTCAGAGTGGAGAAAAAGATTCAAACAAAGACCATGATCACTGACTCGTACTGTTCTGATTAACCAGGAATCTTCCGTGACGATGTTCAAATATACCCGTATCAAATGCACCTCTGGAACAACTTCAACATCTGCTGGTTATCTGTCTGCCAGATGCAAAAGGACTTGACTCAGGAGATTATACAGAGCGGTCAACAGCGGCCCCATGTCAGTCTCATTAGTGCGGAGTATCTGGACCATATGGGGAAGCAATTGATCCGCCTCTGTGACCAAGTGGAGGAGCATGGGCTAGTGGATTACCAGATTGGGTTTTGGGAGGAGGAAATCCTCAGTGGTATGTCTTTTCTTTGTCGGAATGCGAAACATTATACGGCTGGAAATATACTAACTTGGCTCCCTTGCTAGCTTTGTCCCAATGCCTCGATTTGATGGAAAGCAGACCGGAGATTTGGCACACTCGTCCGATGGCAACTCCTGCGACAGCGGCATCGCGATCGTGATATTTCTCTTAGTTTTTACGGCGAAGTACTCTTGTCTTCCTCGGTAGCCAATCAGCCTGCGACCAAAGCCGAACGGGGCTGGAAACTGCCGCTGCAATATCACATGCTTACCGGAGCCCTTGTCGATCAGCTGTAATACGATTATGATGATGATGATGACCGAGAAATAGAATGATCTCAGCTCCGTGGCAACCCTAGCCAACATATCATCTCATCGTCAATACCAAGAGACGAGAAAGTCTTAGGGCTGTTGCCTTGATGAAAAACAACAGAATCATCGTCTCGACCATCGTTTTAATTGGTGTTCGATATCCGACCGGACCCGGATAATTTCTTTTTCTCCCAACAAAGATTCCGTTTTGCATAGAACGTGGTAACGTGGAGCGTGGCGCAGCGCAGAATTGGTCCATCACGATATAACCAGGATTATGGATACGCGAACACGGAACGATGATGATCTTTCGACTCGTCGATTTCACCACTGAAAAACCGATCACAACTGACTCTGACTATTGCAACCATGTTTGGATGCGTGCATGCTTGGAAGGGAAAAGGAAAGGGAAAAGGCAGACGGCAAGCCCATCAAAATTTGAGATTGGTGTCTTTGGCGTTGATACTGATTAAGCATTTGCATTGGATTCTGGAAATAGCGGGTGTTTGCAGAATGTTTTTTTTTTTTTTTTTTTTTTTTTTTTTTTTGTTAATACTTAATGAGATACCCATTGCCATTTTTATATTGAGTCTTGAAGTTGTAATTGATGGTCCCCATTTTTCCGTTCCAGACATATCCCAATAACCCTAGCTCATAGCAATCATCATCATCATCATCATCATCATCATCATTAAAACAACTGAAAGACTTAGCCAAACCAGCTGCTGGAGGGTTTTTTTTTTTTTCATTTCCCTCGTTCATTCCAGTCCCTATCTCTGGCCGCTAGAAAGAGCGGCACCGATACATGTACTGTGTGATCAAGCAAGCAACAATAAAACCCCAACTCCCCGTTATCACATACACAGATAGTACATCCACAATATGAGACCCGTCGAAAGCATCGCCCCGCCAGACTAGGCGTCATCTACCACGTCACCTACGAGAAGTTGAAGTACGGCGTCTACTCGACGACTAACCAAGACTGATACCACCATATACACCCAAAGAGACTCAGAGCGTCATGACTGATGCTAGTGACTTCTCCAGATACTGAACAAGCGCCTACCAACCGCTAGCATAACCCCAAGATTGGCTAGCTAGACCTGCAAGCACCTAACCGACCACATCTAGCTGATCCTCCTGTGTGCACCCGAAGGCCTCCCCTGCAAACCCTGGGGCACAGCACGTCTGTAGATATCTGGTTGGGCGTGAGTTAGGAGACTAAATGTGGTGAGGTTGTTTGATGGCCGGGCACCAGACCGGTGGCATGTATTGGTTAAAACATTGTTTGGAGGGATGGGTAGGCTTTTTGGACCGTTGTCTAAGATGTTCCTGGGGATGTATGGAGTATTTTGATAAGGAGGGATCGGTTCCGATCCCTAGGACAAAGGCTGATTCAGATGGGGACGCTTTCCATATATCAAGATTAGCTCTAAGCAGCAAGAAGACTGCTAAGGAGCGGTTGAGGAACTTCATCTTGTATAACATGGACAAGATATCAAGACTTGAAGCCGGTTATATGGTCTATTACGCTGTAGCACCGTAGCAAATCCGAAAGAATATAAACAGCATTTAATACCTTCATTCGCATCCAAAACACCCACTCCAGACTCCGAGAATCGTGTATCAGGTTCATAACCGCCGTAGCATATGGTCTTGTTTATCAGATGTTGGTCGTTTAAGATACAAGGGTCATCACGGATCATTATCATGTCAGAACCAAAAATATGCACAAAGAATATGGCAACAAAGACAACATTGAATGCCACGCTTAAATATAGTCTGTAATAAGTCAGCATCATAACACACATAGGATGTGAAGAGGACATACTCAACGTCATGCTCATGCTCACATCCGTATTCTCAACCATCTCCATAAATTCCTCGAAACTAATCTTGCCGTCATGGTCCTTGTCCGCCTCCATAATTGTCTTATCCACAATCTGCTGCAGCTGGTCGTTCTTCAAGTTCGTGCCGACCATCATCTTCAATACGATGAATAGCTCGCCGTTGGAGATGTAGCCATCTCGGTCGACGTCGTAGACTTTGAATGCGAAGCGAAGTTTCTCTTCTTTATTTCCCTTGGAGCTGAAGGCTGATAGACCGGAGACGAATTCTTGGAAGTCGACGTCGCCACCGCCGTCTTCGTCGAAGATTGCGATCATTCTGTTCCGCATTTGTAAGTTCACCTCCGGGTCTGCAGTATTGTGGTAAAGACACGCACCTCGTTGCGAGCGGGTTCGAGGACACCTGAGGAAGGGAAAGGAATTCATCTCGATCGATGGCACCGGAGCTATCCTGTAGAACAAACATTTCAGTAGGGTCGAGGGGCAAATGGCCTTATCGCGAGTCAACGGACCTTGTCTAGTTTCATAAACCGCTTGCGAAGTCTCTCCACCTCATCTCTGTCGACTGTACCGAGTTAGTTGCGACCATTGTTTAAAGCGATGGATAGGAATGCGAACAGTTGGAGGCTGATACGATGGTATCGAAGAGCTGGGATGTCCCGACAGAACCGCGTCGCCTTCGCGCATCGTACATGGCGGCATTATTGGGAGAGGGATCCATGGTGATATACAGGAATGCAGGGAATAGAGGAGGAAAATAAGTATGAATGGATATCTGGAATGTATGGTAGGTATCAGCAACGTAGGTTAAGGCGAAGTCTGCCAAGGAATGCCAAGACGCTAATCCCCCCTCGTCCGTAGCGAGGGGGCAAAGAAAGAGTCCCACACCGTGTTCACAGCGCTGCGCTGACACATCCGTGTACTGAATTAATCAAAATCCTCACCAAACCGCCTGTTTCGCTACGAGACTTCAGCCATCAATATCTCCCACCACCCATCCTTTTTTATCAAAAAAATACCACTACGCGATTTCGCATGATCTAGGCTATCTATTGATACGAATTTCGGGACCTTTCGGCCCATGGCCATCGCTCTACTGACGCGCTAAAAATACGCATGACTAGAGACGGCCGTAATGGGCAGAACGCGACCCAAGAAGCTCACGCCAAAGGCTTCGATCCCCATTGTCGGCGAAACTGAAATTGATATCATCGATGATGAGGTCCAGAGCACTCTACAACAGATTGAAACTGGCGTTGAGAAGGCGGAGGAGTCGGTGAGTGCGGTTGCCCCGGCTAATTTTAGCCCACCCCTGTACAACATCACGTGATGACATCACCACTTTCAGCCCTCAGTTGCTGATGCCATTCTTTGATAGGAATTCCACCTGCAAGCTGCAATCAATGCAACCGCTCAGGGAAAAGTAAACGAGGCGCACATCCCCACGCCCGAAACCATCCTCAGTAATGTCCGTTATGACGCTCTCTATCCCCCGGTCTTCTCGCAGCCAGCAACATACATCCGCTTCTCGTCGACGGTTGAGGATTGTTGCGGATGTCCGTATAACATGACTGAGGAGGATGATTCCTTCCTCATCGCCTTAAACGGGAAGCGGGATGCGTCCAACCAATGTACCGAGGATCAGTTCGAGGAGGTCATGCACTTTTTCGAAGAGACTGCCCAGACGAAACAACCTTATGCGGCTGTAGATAGCCCACCAGTTCTCTCGTTTGAGGAGATCCAAGAATCCATGGACGCAGCTGTAGAACAAAGCGTAAAGCATTTCGCCAAGGACATCTACCCGCACTGGAAGGAGACGAGAATCGGTGCCGGAAATCAAGTATTGACTTCAAACTTGAAGGTGTGCAACCCTTTGCGAATTCGTCCAGACTCCCGTGCTGACTGTCACAGTTCGAAACGGGCCAAGAGACCGACGATACAGATCCATATGTCTGCTTCCGTAGGCGTGAAGTCCGCCAGATTCGCAAAACTCGCGGCAGAGATGCACAGAGTGCCGACAAGCTGCGGAGACTCAGGAAAGAGCTCGAAGATGCCCGGCAGTTGGTTGCACTAGTGCGGCAGCGCGAACTGGCGCGGAAGGAGATGCTTGCTGTTGAACGGCATGTATTCTTGCAGCGTTCTGAGGTGAAGGACATGAAGAGAAAGCTCAACGTCAAAGACGACGACGAAGACCTCATCAACCAGAAGGTAAGGAGCCCTGAAGTGACTTGGCTGGTCCATACGTGCGCTAACCCAAAACAGCCGAAGAAGAAGCCTGCCGATGCAGCCATGCAACGCCCTATCCCTCCTCAGCTTCGTATGCCACCAAAGGCTGTTTCCCAGGCTGCCGAAGATTTACAGCTGCTGGAAGATGTTCAAGCAGAAAAGGAAAACGAAATTCTGCGCGACATCAGGCAAAATATTGCCAAGCACATCAAGTGGAACGAGGGCTATGTGGATTTCACAAGAGCACCTCTCTCCCCATCCCCCGAAAGAACCTTCGAAGCTGCTTTCCGTCCGGCAATCACTACCCAATTGCCGACTCCACCATCTTCGGATACCTCGGAAAATATGATGGACACATCATTAGATACCACCAGTGCCCTATCGTTCCGAGATAAGATAGCACCGCGTACGATGATGGAACTGCATGAGGATACTAGCAGAATACCCTCATTTAGGAGACGTATTGGGCGTGGCGGTCGTTTGCTAATTGATCGTCGGAATATTGCTGCGCCGTGTAGAGTGGAGTTGGATCCGCTGAAGGCCGATCGCTTCAAGTTTGATCGCGAGGATTCGGACGAAGAACTCGACTATGAGCGAGACCAATACGACATCCAGATCATGCAGCATCGAGCCATAATGGCGGCCAAAGCCCGAGACCAAGCTGCAGCTGCAGCTCAGGCACATGCGCAGGCGCAAGCAGCTCACGCTCAAGCCCAGGTTCAGGCGCAGCGACGACTGCAGGCTGATCAGGTCGCGGGCAACCATAACAACATGGGGCAAACAATGGGGTCAAACCCTGGGCCTGGTGCCGCTGCCCCAACATCAGAGATATGAGCTGGGCTTGCCCTCTGAGTTCCTTCATTCCTATTTGCATGATGCAGGCGTTGTTGCTTTTGACTCTTTTTCTCGGCACCTTCACCACTTTCCCGACGTGTACTTTTATTCCCATTCCGACACCTTGTTCACGCGTTACCACTTTTATAATCCTTGCCATCTTTTCATACCTTCTCACCATTCGAACACACCTTGACCATTGAACGACCTTAAAGCCATCAAAAGTCAGGTTTATATTGGGGAAGCAGTTCTTCCCCTTTCCTTTTTGACGACATGACCTGGATTATGCAACCATTAGTGTACATAGCAGCCTTTTTTTTTTTTTTTTTTTTTTTTTCCCTTTCCCCTCCCCTTTTTTCTTTTTAATCTGAAAAAACCAACCAGTCGATAGACTCATGTATGGATAGCTATGAGGTCAGCAACGAAGAATCAAACAAAATAATAATACCAAATTTATGATAAAAAGAAAGAAATCAACTTTTCCTGTTTTCCCTAACATTCATATCATCCAGAAGATCACTTTCTCTGGGCCTTCGTTCTCCTCGAGTCTTCTTCATCTTCGGCGCTCCGTTTCGTAGAAAGCAAACGGTCCAGCTGAGCGGACAACTCCTGGAGAATCTCCTTCTCTCCAATGCGCACCAAAACGGCCATCTTAAGCCGGCGCAAAGACCCTTCCAGAGGACCAGTGGTATCCATTCGGTTCAATTCCGCCAGGAGTCCCTGGTCTAGTTCAATGTTCGTGGCGTACTGGGAGCATTCCAATTGAACTGCTTTCTGAAGGATGCTCATCTCCGGCCGGCCGACTGCGAGCTTTGGAGGTTTGTTCTTGGACTTTTGCTGCTCCAGCTGCTCCGGCGACAAGGCCAGGGTTTTGAGCAGGAGCAGGAGTTCGTCGGGAAGAACGTCTGGCAGGGGATCATCGCGTGAGAATCTTGGGATGATATATCCATCGTCAAGGAAATCCAACTCTGCAAGGAATTCCAGCTAAGAGTGCTTTAGCATGACTGGGCCGGGGATATGGAAAGGAGAAACGGGTAGCAATACCGGAGGCTGAGATTCAACATCGTCATTACTCAATCCTGCAGCTTGGCAAATGTTGGACAAAGAAAGTTCCACCACATCGTACCGAGCGTAGTTGTCTGTCACGTAGCCATAACGTCTCAGAAGATCCGCACGCGGGAGTTCGCCGTAGTCGTTGAAGATCTCCTCGCCAGCCGCGATAGGCTTGATTGCCTTCATGACAAAGTCTTCTTCTTGGAACAGCCGCGCCTGGATTGATTCCAAGATAAGTATACGAACCGTGCTATGGTAAGAGATAAGACCAAACTCACGTTATTTCGGTCTGCATCTGCATTCAGTAGATCTGCCATAGGCACCATGCCTTTGGCTGGTTGCTCCTCTTCCTCATCCGTCTGATATCCATCTTCGCCATCACCATCTTCATCCTCATCTTCCATCTTACCAATATCGAACGCATAGGCCAGGATCAGAGAGCCCACCATATGAGCAACGTGCAAGAGGGCCTGGGTGCCAGCATCGTCATCATAGGAGGAAACGCCCTCAACGGGAGGGAAAAGAGAAGGATTCGCTCGCACAATAGGTGCAATAGTCTCGAGAATCGATTCCTCCGCCCCCTGCTTACCAATCTTATTGACAACAGCACTACCCTGAAGCTCCTGAAGTTCGGACGGAGACCAGAACATTAGAGTATCGAATTGTCTGGGAAGGACCTTGAAGTACTGGTACCAAGTAGACTTCTCTCCTGCAAGGTACTCATAGATCATAACCAGCATGAGGGACATCCATGGGCCGAGCTCGTCGATCTTCTGGGACAGCAATTCAGGCAATTTCGAATTCTGCACGGAGAGGATGAGACCACGGGGGATGGCAAACAACTCTTCGCCTTCGGGGATATCGGTTTGGGCCACTAGTGGAACAGCGTGATACCTGCCTTATCAGAGATGACAATCCCATAAACATCATGGAATTCAAGTTGAAACAAAATGCAAGCGAAACAATGGGGGTTGGGTTCGGGTTGTTGTAGTGTGGACATACCGACTCCTCTTCCAGCATTCAGGGATCTCAGATCAGACACACAGATCTTCGAGTTCACCCGGACGCCAGGTCGGCTTGTGAGCCAGCCAAAGAAGTCATTGGACTGCTGTTGGAAGCTGACAGGGTCAGGAAAGTGGGAGGTGGAAGACATGGTGCGAGGGTAGGTGAAGGAAAAAAGAAAATAGAGAAAAGTTTGAGAAAGACACCGAGTAAAGGAAAAGAAAATAAACAATCTAATAAGATGCTCTCAAAGACCTCCCAAGCGAGATTTTAGCACCATCGAAAAGAAAGTGGACAAAAACTGTGCACAATTGAGAAGTGGAATGGAGGTAAATACTTCGTGGGCGAGATCTTAGTCTTAATACTAAAACAGTCGACACTTCGGACTTCCGTCGGATAAATGGCGGAGCTGCCACCCGCCCGCCGCCGCAACCAATCGATAACGCTGCTGATAAAAAAGCACATTCTGCCGCTCTGATACCGATTATTACCAAACATACAACAGTGCAAAAAGATATACAGACATTCCACCAGCATCGAATACAATGATCGGAATAGGAATGGAAGGCTCCGCCAACAAGCTTGGAGTGGGCATCATGCTTCATCCTAACGACGGCAGCCCGCCGCGAGTCCTCGCGAATGTCAGACACACCTACGTCTCCCCTCCCGGTGAGGGGTTCCTCCCCAAGGACACGGCGCGACACCATCGGTCGTGGGTGGTGAAGCTGGTGAAGAAGGCGCTTAGAGACGCTGGCGTTTCTGTCAAGGATGTGGACTGCATTTGCTATACCAAGGGACCGGGGATGGGTGCACCTTTGCAGAGTGTGGCTGTCGCGGCGCGGATGTTGAGCTTGTTATGGGGGAAGGAACTGGTTGGGGTCAATCATTGTGTTGGACGTATGTATCTTTACAAAGAGAAGGAAATCGTAGCTAATGGAGTGCAATCCAGACATCGAAATGGGCCGGTTGATCACAGGCTCTACAAACCCCGTCGTACTCTACGTCTCCGGAGGAAACACACAAGTAATCGCATACAGCTCACAACGGTACCGTATTTTCGGCGAGACCCTCGATATTGCAGTTGGCAACTGTCTGGACCGTTTTGCCCGCACATTACACATCTCCAACGATCCAGCCCCGGGGTACAACATCGAGCAATTGGCCAAGAAAGGCAACAAGCTGATCGAGCTTCCTTACACCGTCAAAGGCATGGACTGTTCATTCTCGGGCATCTTGGCTGCCATTGATGGATTAGCAGCAAGCCACGGTCTAGGTGGACAGGGTAAAGATGACGAAAGTAATGACGACGATGATAAGCCTACTCGTGCGGACCTGTGTTTCTCGCTCCAGGAGAACATTTTCTCCATGTTAGTTGAGATTACAGAGCGCGCCATGGCACATGTCGGTTCGAAGGAAGTCTTGATCGTCGGTGGTGTAGGATGCAACGAACGACTGCAGGACATGATGGGTATCATGGCTCGAGACCGTGGTGGTAGCATCCACGCAACGGACGAGCGATTCTGTATCGATAATGGAATCATGATTGCGCAGGCTGGTATGCTCGCCTACAAGACAGGTCTCCAGACGCCATTGAAGGAATCGACCTGTACGCAGCGATTCCGGACGGATGATGTGTTTGTCAAGTGGAGGGATTAACCATGTTTCTCGAGTAATGGAATAAATGTCTTCGATGCCAGTATGATAAATTACGAATAATAAAGGCTTCTGGTGTATGTTGTCATGTAAATCGAACGGCCTTATGAATAGTCCTATATAGTGCCCACCATGGACATTCGATGAGCGAGTATGTCAATACTCAATCAACCAAAATTCCTCAACCAAAGATTACTCGACAGTAATACACATTTTAAGGGAAATTGGAATAAGAAATAACGTATTCCTAGACACACTCCGCTTGCTTGCAACATCAAACGTGTAAAATGAGCAAAGGAAAACGCCGTAAACATAATAAGGATTTGATTTCATAACCACATACCGGATCTACCTGACCCAAGTTGTAACCGAATGTGCAAAACGTGAGATTAAAGGTCGTGACATCATGTGTATATGCATTTCAATAATGACGTCCCATCATCAATGATTATAATCGAACAGGCATTGCGTTCCATGTGGTATGTTTTGATGATAGAAGTGTACAAGCATCGAATCCATCAAGCACCGCTTCCCGTTGAGATAGTCATAAACAGTGTCCAATGGCGTGCATGTTGAAATTCTTGATTGCCAAACTGATGACGAATGTACTGTTGTACCATACTTCCGTGTAACAACTAACCTGAGGGGTCCCCAGCCGGTTTGTACAGGATTGTTGTAACATACTGTTCGAGGATGTCGCGTCAGTAATTAGAAAGAATCAGAGAGGTGTACAGTAGAGCCTCCGCTTACCTTCCGTTTGTACCTAGTTGTTACACTAGTAGCTAGGACGCCGTTCTTTATACTGCTTGTAGCAAGGTGATTTAGAACAGTGTGGTTGGGATAGTTCAGAACGCTGCTGTCATCCTTCATCGGTGTGGTACCGTTCAATATAGACTTGCCTAGGAACAAAGGAAGACTTGGGGGCGTAGGTGCATCGCCAATAACATTTGCGGCCTGTTGATAGGCTGGAACCTCTTCCTCTTTGTCCAGATCAACCAGATATTGAGGTATTATGTTACGGAAATCCCCAAGCGGAATCTCCTCTGGTTCATCCATCTCGGTGTCTTCCACCTGGCCCTCTTCATCATGGGTTCCAAGGAGCTCCGGGACAACCTGTGGAGCACGAACACCCGAGGGAGCCACAACGCTCGCTTTGCGCGATCTTCTAGAATCATCCGAACTGACCTCGATGTAGTTGACCAAATGATTCGTGAAGTCTACCGCCGTAGGCAAACTGTCCGAGGCTCGCATTTCGCCGTCCACAATGAACTTCAGATGATGTGTTCCAGGGCGAAGATTCAAGGTTGTGGCCATGGTGGTGCCTCCACTACTGTCAACCCTTAGCAGACGGCAATCAGCATATCCGAAATATCAAACACGAAGTCAACAGATGACGCATGGAAAGACACGAGAAACATGCCCGATTGGAACGTTTCAATGTCTGCCAAGAGGAAGTTTACTCCAATGACATGCAAACGGCTAGTCTCGGACAGGTGGTAGATGGTTCAAATAGACAGAGATAAGGAAGCAGGGACAGTACTACATACCTTCTATGTAAACGGAACTTTTTCTCCCAATTGACAAATGTTCCGGTCACATAAACCTTATCACCATGAGAGGCCCATTCGATGGTGGTTGGGACAGCTTTCCCTACACCACTTGGAGTGTACGGTGCAAGATCCTCCGCTCCTTCATCTTCATCAACTGGAACACTGGATTGTTCATGCCCCGCTTGCTCATCCACGAAACGATCCTGAGCTAGATCCCCTCCAATATGAGAATCTTCAGGGCCAAGGAGTGGAGACCCTGGTGTCGCTGTTGCATCCCCAATCGGCAAAGGCATTCTGGGAGGACGTTGGAGATGGGCAGACGCATTGTAGTAACTTTGCGGCGCCATACCGGGCGGAAGAGTGTCGCGCCTCATGCGCTGATTCGGAACTTGAACAGGGTTGGAGGTATCGGAAGTAGGGATGTCCCTGGGCTCAGGGTCTGGAATCTTCGCATCTTGATGGTCGGGTTGGTTTAGCGTACGCGCGGAAGGCTCCGTAGGTTGACTGGATTGGAGATGCTGCTGAACAGCTGCCTGGTTCTGTGTAGCCGAATGTCCGATTGCAGTCTCTTTAGTGGCAGAGGGGTCGGCAGCAGCGGCTTTCGTCGTCGTGCCCGATAATGTATTGATGGAAGGTTGTTGAGTTACCTTCCTTTCATGTCCAGATCCCGTCACATACGGAGACCCCGCTGCCGACGGGACATCTGGCTTGGAAGGATTGTTGCCCATAAGCAGTGTAGTAGCGAAAAAAGAGGCGAGAATGAAGAGGAAAGGAGGGGATGGTAAAGGTGAGGAGTCGGGGTTTGGGTATCGCGGGGGTCGTCGGAGAGAGAACGGCGAGGAACGATGAGATATCAGGCAGGTCAAGATGCCAGCATCAAAACAACCACAAGCTCTCAGTCGGCGAGAAGAAGAGGGGTTGGATTTGTGTCCAGCGACGGTGTATATTTAATTGGTGGAACGACTTCTGGCCAGCGATTCCAAACGATCGAGCGATTTTGCCGGGGAAGCATCGGAGAAGCTTCTCTGTACAAGAAGGCAGGGATGTCGAGTGGTGATGATGTCGATGTTCCCGATCGGGAGAGTTAGGGCTTAGGGTATGATATAGCAGTTCAGCTTCATCTTCCTTTCAACTTTGATCAACCAACTTCAATCACCGATTAGACTCATTGAAAGATGGGTACATGTTGACAGTGTATACTTACAACTAGACAACAAGTCAATACAATCCAGGATACTGCCGCAATGGCTTGGGAATCAGTAATCAGGACCACACTGTCCATCCTCTACCTGATCCTATATCCTCTGGTTTACGCGCTATGCGGGATTCTTAAGCTATTACAACTACTGGCCACTCCATTTATGAGTCTGAGTCTCAGTGTCCTTCATCTCTCCCTCTGGCCTTTCAGATTCCTTGCAAGATTCGAGGTACGTCTATGTTATCGAGTCAGCCGATATGCCGAATGCTTACGCTCAATAGGTAATCTTCATATACCTAGCAATGGCCATAATTATTGGCGCAATTTCAGGCTTGGTTATATATTGCATCTGTGCTTTCACCGTGGACTATCTTCCTGGTTTTGTCCTAGATTCATCACGGTCTCCTTCGCTATCAAGAGAGCATCCAAAAGAGAAAGCTCGCCAGCCGAAGACTGAGCTGGAAAGTTGGAGTCTTTCTGATATCCCTTCTTACAAGTACGGAATTGTGCCCAGTGACTACTATGCAAGATGGGGTGATCGAAAGGACGCCGGGCCGCTCTCTTCGACGATTCTGGAGGAAGAAGAGTCCGAACGGGAGTTTAATGACAGCCTTGGACATGGATATAAACGGGGAAAGAAGGAAGATGTCTCTTTATCGGATTGAGAAGCGACCGAATACTGCGAGATTAATACTGATTCCGGTTCGAGGAAGACGCTGGCCGTCATTCCACAGCGACAACAGATAATACTCTTAAGTCTGTATTGAAATTCAATTGAGCTGTATATAAGGCAGTATGTAGTTCTGGGAAAGAGTGATTCTTATCGTCTTACGTGCTTAGTTCATCATATCAGCCTCCAACAACTAGCTGCGATTTCCACTTTCGTCCTCTCTTCATCTCCCCTACGATCAAATCAATCTGAATGACCGCAATGACTATATACCCCCATCCATCCTAATCCATGACATTGTTGCACTGAAAATCTCCGGCCGATGCAACGGTGCACGTAGCTGCGACCGCCTACGACCAGTGACCGCACCCCAGATTTTTGTCCCACCCTTTCATTCACACCTCAGACGAATCAAAAACAATTATGCTCTTCCCCCGGGTGCGATCCCGGGTGCGAACGTTGCTCCTTGCGCTGTTTCTCGTATCAGTTATCACCTGGTGTCTATCGCGATCGCGACAATCGGACGGACAAACCGGACAGGTCCCGATCATCCACAACCCCAAAGGCCATATCAAATTCTGGCGCCAATTCGAACCACTCTTATCGAAATATGAACCGAAATGCCTTCCTCCGGAACGTCTTGGATCAGCGGAGTCGATCAGGTTTGAGCAAGCGGATCCCGATTATCGCCCAGAGCTCATTGAGATGTCGGCGGAGGACGTGGCTATTATGAAGAAGGCGCATCACGGGTTCGTGAGTGAGATAAAAAAAGATGGACCGAAACTTCATTATGAATCGCATACGAGGGGTATCGTGTCGACAGCGGGAGGATCATACTTGCCGGTGTTGGTGATCTCGCTCCGCATGCTTCGGAGGACGGGCTCGGAGATTCCAATGGAGGTTTTCTTAGCGGATGGGTCAGAATATGAGGAATACATTTGCGAAATGGTTCTCCCTTCCTTGAACGCCCGGTGCGTTGTGCTATGGGACATTCTGAGTGCGATACCAGATGGCGTGCAGGTGGAGAAGTACCAGTACAAGCTCTTTGCGATGCTCTTTTCCTCGTTTGAGGAGATATTTTTCTTGGATGCTGATGCGTTCCCGTTAATGAAGCCGGAGAGTGTGTTTGCAAGCGAACCATTCAGATCCAGTCAGATGATCACTTGGCCAGACTTCTGGCTCCCTACACCTTCGTCACTCTTTTACGAGATCTCCTCCATACCTGTTCCCCGCAAGGCCCAGAGACAGTCGAGTGAGTCTGGAGAGATCTTCCTCTCTAAACGAACTCACCTCAAGACCCTCCTCCTCGCTACATACTACAATTTCTGGGGCCCAACCCACTACTGGCCCCTCCTCTCCCAAGGTGCCGCAGGCGAGGGCGACAAAGAAACCTTCGTCGCAGCAGCTACAGTAGCCAACGAACCCTTCTACCAAGTCAGCGAACCTATTTGCGCCATCGGCCACCGCACCGCAGGCGGCCTAGCCGGCTCAGCCATGGCCCAATTCAACCCCGTCGAAGACTACATGCTCACACAGAAGGATCAGTGGCGCATCATGGGCGCAAAAGCTCTCCCTCCCCAGACATACGTAATTCACGCAAACTTTCCCAAGTTCAACCCGGCTACTGTGTTCAATCCGGGTGATGTGAATCCGGCATTCGCGGATGATGGTAGTTACACGCGGGCGTGGACTATCCCGGAAGAGGTTATTGAGAAGTTTCCTACGGATGTCGAGAGGGAGTTTTGGAGTGAGATTCTCTGGACTGCTTGTGAACTCGAGGACAAGTTTGAGACTTGGAAGGGGCAGGCTAATATTTGCCGGAAAGTTAAGGATTACTGGAATGCTATCTTCGTGGATTCGAAGTCTGGGGCCGTCTGAAGGCACTGGTCACTTTTAGTCCGCTGGAACGAACGCGAATGGATCACATCTGATCTATTCATCTCCCTCTAGTTGTGACTTAACCTGGCATCATGGCATCAGTACACCGACTTTAGCGGCCAACGGCCAATTCTAAGCCGGAGCAAACCATGTGAAATGTGAAAACGACTTGTTTATAACCATTATCAGTATACGGGTATCCCTATCCATGCCATCTTGATGGTGGTGTACTTTTAACAAATGCTTTTCAATTACCTGGCCAACACTTGGTCTATATCGTTAGAACGCTGCACGATACTTAAAACAAATTCATAATATACAAGAGCCGAATTTTATCTATCCTATCATCGTAAATAATACATGTCTAGGAGCGTTCCCAGAATGAACCCCGGTCTACCTCAACCGAAGATCAAGCCCTGTCTCATCCGCTCTCTTAATGGCATTCGCAAACAATTCCTTACAAGGCACCCGACTCCCCAACCTCGCGCACAGCAAGAACGCCCCACTCAACTTCCGATGCAAACTATACGTCTCCTCCGGTGGAGGCGAGAGTCTCTCTCGAAGCATAATCGGGATAAACCCACGCACCCGATCAGTGATAGTCTGGTTATTGAAATCGTAAACATCCGGAGACGAATCCATGAATGGTTCCGCAATGGTGCAGACAGACGAAATATGCGCGTCGATCATGGCCTGCGATTCATGGCCGGTCAAGTAACCAAGCTGGATGGAGAGGTCGTGGCAGCTCTTACGGTCGTCACGGGAGGCTGCGAGGAGGGTACGCACATATTTTGTGGAGAATTCGATAGGGTAATCGCGGGAGGCGCCAAAGTCGAGGAGTTCGAGGCGGGCTGTTTCGGCGTTGTAGAGGAAGTTGGTCCAGTTAGGGTCTGTTTGCATGTATCTGAATTCGGTGATTTCACGGAGACACAGGCGCATGATCTGGGTGCCTATCCAGTCGCGCTGGTCTTGGGAAAAGTTTGTGATCCTGGTGACGGGGACGCCGTTGAGGCGTTCCATAGTTAAGACGTGTTTTCCTGATGCTTCGGGGATTATTTCTGGTATCATGAAGACTGGGTCGTCTTGTAGCAGTTCTCTGAAGCGGTGGGCGCATTTTGCTTCCCGGACGTAGTCGCACTCCCATGCGAGTTCTGTCCGGGCATTGGCGATAGTCTTGTCCAGGTACAGTCCCCTGGGAAGAAGGCGGGATGCTGTAAGGAGGATGGACAAGTTATTCAAATCCGAGTCAATCGAGTCTGCCACACCGGGATACTGCACTTTCACGGCTACTGGCTGGCCTGTCTTCTTGAGGACTGCGCCGTGCACTTGGCCTATTGATGCCGCAGCCATGGGAACGTCATCGAAGTTCGAGTAGAGATCGCGCCAGTTGTGGCCCAGATTGTCAGCCAAGACCTTGTCGCGCTGGGATGCAGGCATATAGTCAGCCCGATCTTGAACCCGCTGGAGGACAGCGTGAATAGGTTCCGGCAGCATTTTCGAGTCTATAGCATGTTTAGCCGCCGTGTCACCAAAATATCATGGGTCTTTGTTCCCGAACCTTGGAAACTCATCATCTGGCCGAGTTTCAGCGCAGCTCCCCGCATTTTGGAAAGTTTCGCAACAAGACGCTCCATATTACCAGCGCTGAACATAACAGATCCGGCATTATCTCCACTACCTGTGGCTCGTCTGAATGTCTCCCCGACAGCTCCAAAAGCCATGGACGTTGCTAGCCCTCCATATTGCCATATTCTACCAAGTCGTGATGATGGCACGCGGGATTCGACCATCCTATGCGCTTGTTCTTTCCTGCCTTCCGCGAATTTGGTGGCAGCCTGCACGGGAGTCAGCATTTTCTTGATAACCCTGATTAAATATGGTCTTGTATACCTCTTGCTCAACATTATTCTTTGCGAGACTGGACCCAAGCTCTGCCATTTCTTCCTTTTCAGACTGCCCCTTCACACCCGAAGTCGCCTTACCACCCACGGGAGAGTGGAAAACATCCGCATTGATTTCCCCATCTATCCCAACCTGTTCTTTACCACCAGCCTTAGGCAACTTCACCCTAGGAAGCCCAGACAGCTCCGGGGCCTTTTTCTGAGACGGCTCGTAGAAAACATCCTGCTGTTGACTGACGCGCAGCTCATCCGGAACCTCACCGCCACTATACGTCGCCCCAGAGACCGGAATATGAGTCTCGGCCTGCCTTTGCGCCCTCCTAGCTTCATCTGGAGATAATGACGGTGATCGTGCGTCTTCCGGCCTCGCGGCCGACGGCGTCTGGGAGGTCACAGGGCTCTCGGCGGACGTCGGAGGGTGATCGGGTTCGTTGAATCGTCGAGCAAGTGCCGCAGCAGCCTTGGCGGATAAGATCAGACCTTCAGTCTGACTCTGAATGCCCTTGGTTAGAGAAGAGGTCCTGGTAAACACATCTAGCTGCCGTTGCCGCACGGCCAGATGTTTCGCCGCCACCGCCGTGGTGACATTGAGGAATTGGATAGCGTCAAGCAGACGCTTTCCCGACATGTTCGTATATGATTCAGTGAGCTGGAAGTTTTTTATACCAGTAACATCATGCGAGCCTTTCCAATCAATTGGGTCGTAGCCGTTTCCGTGGTACTATGCTAGACAGCCCACTCCGCAAGAGACCTCCGATCTGTCGGCCGATTTTATGCCAAGCTTTACCGCCCATCGGGGAGTGCCGGTATGCATCCGGTGGCGACTGATAAGAGCGTCACATTTTCTCTCTATTTTAACCCCTGCGCCCCCGAGATGACGGCCAATGGCTCTGATTTTTGGATAAGAAAGCCTCCATGAATACAAAGAATAATACCGAAGATTTGGAGCAGGAGATTGCGGATCTCGAGTCTCGTCTACACAATGCAAAGGCGCAATTAGCATCTTCGCACCTTGCGCCGCGCAGCGCAAAGCCCTCATCCTTGTCGCGTGAGCCCAATGGTATGCCACCAGGATTTTTATGTTCTTTTCTATAGTCGCGTTGAACACTTGGGGCGCTGACCACAGTTAATTGCTATCAGGGATACCTCCTTCAATCCCTATCCATCATGCCTTGCTTCTCCTGTCAGACTCCGCCCTGCCGCTGGGCTCATTCGCGTACTCCAGCGGTCTCGAGTCCTATCTGGCGCACAACAAGCCTCTCCCGCGGTCAGTGACCTCAATCGCATCGTTCCGCCGATTCTTGAAACTCTCCATTGCATCGCTAGGGAGTACTTCGCTCCCGTACGTCCTGAACGCCTACCGATACCCAGAGACATTGGAAACATTGGATAACGACCTGGACGCATCGACACCGTGCGTGGTGGCGCAGAGAGCAAGTCTAGCCCAAGGACGAGCGCTGCTTGGTCTTTGGGAACGGGCTTTCCGAGGATCGTATGGTTTGTACGCGTCTTCTGGATCTTCTATGGCCAATGGCGCTGGCACTGCTGTCAATGCCGTGAAAGCCCTCGAAGACTTTTTGGATGCGCTCAAGTCTTGCTTTGACCATGTAGACGAACTCGGACCCAAGGGACATTTTTCGCCACTGTGGGGTGTGGTTTGTTTTATTATGGGCATGGATCTTCACCAGACGGCCTATGTCTTCATGTTGAACCATGCTAAAGCAGTTCTCAGCGCCGCGGTGCGGGCCTCGGTCATGGGCCCCTACCAGGCTCAGGCTATCTTGGCAAGCAAGGGACTCCAGGAAATGATTATGCAGCGGATAGAACGGGAATGGGATACCAACGTAGAAGATGCAGGCCAGGTGGTTCCGCCGCTGGACCTATGGGTTGGGAGGCATGAGCTTCTTTATAGCAGAATATTCAATTCATGACATTTATGCCGAAAACAAAGAAAACTCAACTGTGTCCTTGATCTCAAAGTAGAATTCATCATCGTCGCAATAAACGCCATCGATATCACTGCATTCAGCCATCCATCTTTTACTCATCCAAACGGCCCTAACTAATCCTACATTTCGCGAGAAAGTCGGAAATGTGCGCCTGCGATATTCCCACCCGTGTGCCAGTCAAAGTCACCGAAGTGGGTATCCAAAAAGCAATAAAAAAGAAATATAATCAACAAACGTGGCTTGATGGCCAGAATATCCACCATTGCTCTGGCCGATATGCAAAAGAAGACACTTGCCCAGAAGCACAAAATCAGCTCGAACGCCGGCTCCTAAGACCCCTGTCCTGCTAAAAATCAGACAAACACCACCGTTAATTTCCCATAATGAAGAGCAATGAACAGAAATTCAAACAAAAAACCGTAATATAAAAAATGTCAAGGTGTGAAGAGGTAATCGCGGCAAATATTAGGGAAAGAGAAGGGGAAAAAGCCGAAGAATAAACTATGGTACAAGAAGTTAAAATCCTCTAAAGTCGAAAAGGCACAAAGATCGGAAGGAAGTGAAAATAACGACCTCGGAACCGGGGAGTAATCAGAGGGTGATGTGCATGTAGTCATTATTTCCAAAGGATTTGTTGCAATTCGGACACTTGCGCGATCGCGAGGTGAGACGTTCTTCGACGCAATCTTTGCAGAAGACATGACCGCATGTCTTGATTGCCGTGTTCTTGAAGTTCTTGCGGCATACTGTGCAGATGGCAAGCGTCTGTGAAACAAATCAGCAAAGATAGCAAACCCTAAGGTCAATAATCGAAACATACCCTCAGCATTTCGTACTCAGACGAAGAGTTCCCAAGGCTCTTATTCTTCCAGTTGTCCAAGCTCTTCTTAGTATCTGCCAGCGATGCCTTCAAGCTTTCAATCTCCGTCTCTGCCCGACGACAAGCACTAGAAGTATTTGCCAGTGTGGAATCCTTTGAAGTCGATAGAGCCTTCAGTTCGGCTATCTGGTTCTTCAAACCGTCCGTGACGATACTGTTCTCTGTGAGTTGCTGTTGGGCCGCATAGAGTTTGCTAGTGACAGTGTTTAAGGTTTCTTTGTTTTCGCTGGCCTGCTTTTCCATGTTCGCAACCAAGGAGCGTGTGGCTGCTTCCGAGTCTTTTAACTGGGAGATAATGTCGGAACTCTTCGAATTCTGCATTCGCAGGGTCCGGACCTCCATCTCCCGTGCCTCTTTTGCTTTCATCGCTGCAAAGAATTTCTGATCGGCCTTGGACTTCTCGGCGACTAAACGGGCAACTTTCTCTTCTAGAGCGCTGAAATCTGCCACTTTTTGCGAAGCTAGTGTTGAATATTTCTTGCATGCCGTTTGCATGGACGCCAATTCAGTGTTAAGCATCGCATACTGCCGTTCCAAGGTCTGGTATTTGGTCCGAAGCTCTTCAACCGGAATCCTTGCGACATCCGTAGATTGCGCACTGTCGACCTGCACCCGTAGCCTCTCCACCTCGGATTCTAGAGAAGCGATTCGAGCTTCCCCGGCACTTGCGAGTTCCTGGATCTTGATGGTTGATGTCTTTTCCTGCTCCTGTGCGGCCTTTCTCATCTGTTGATCGGCCAGTAGTTCATCACGAGCGTTCCGTATTCTGGCCAAATCTGTTTCCGCCCGTACCAGTTGCGCTTCCTTCTCGGCGACAATGCCTTGTGTTTCATCGTCGATTTGTATGCGGTATGAGGTCCGCTCCGATCGTAACTTCTCGGCTTCTTCACGTAGTTGCGTATTCGTCGCTTCAGAATGGTTTATCCGTTTAACCACATCGTCGTACTGCGATCTCAACTGCTTGAACAGATCCGTATGCGCGTAATCATCATCGCTAAGTTTGGAGTGCTGTGACGAGATGTCAGCAAAAGCTTTGCCGTGTCACGAGATAAAATACCAACCTTGATATTCAATTCGGTGACTTGGTTCAGCAGGCTGGCATTTTCAATCTCCAGTTTCTGTAATTGTTCCTTCTGCTTTTCGGATTCAGCCACAAGCTTGTGATGCATCTCTTCAAGCTCCGGATTGCGTTCGCCCCGGGTAGCTACGCCGTTGGTAACAGACGGCTCTTCTCGACTTCCAGATGCGCTGTCTGCGCCAGGTCGTTGTGCACCAAGGATATACTGCTTCTCCAATTTGGCGACTGTCACGCTCCGTGCACGATCCAGTTTCTTCTCTGCCACCATGTAGCGCAGAGATGCTGCCTCTAGGCTTTCTTCAAGTTGTTGTTTATCCGCTAAGGCTTTCTCGAGTTCGCCAATGGTAACCTTCTCCTCGGCCAATTTCTTGGCCAGCTGGCTTTGCAGATCGGAAACCTCAGGCGGGGCTTTTGACAAATTTGTTGTGAGTCGCGATATAATGTCACGTATTTCATCCGATCGGGCTTTCAAATGCTTCTCGAAATCTTCAGCATCTTCGAATTGCAAGGAGCTCCGAAAAACCGATTGCTCTGCATATTTGTTAGCAAAGCTAAGTTCCCATGAGAATATATCTGGCGAACAAATAGCGCGCCTACCCTTGCTGTTTCCTTCCTTTTTTACAGGGTCCAACAGTATCTTAACTTCGTCGATCAACTGCAGAGAGAGTTAGAATTTAGATAACTTGAATTTCCGAAAATGAACGTACTTGGTTGTACCATGCATCGATAACGCGAAGGTGATCGTTGTGGTAATTTGCGGCCTTGGAAAGTTCCTTTACTTTTGTCTCCAGGGAAACCTTTTCGCGTTTGTATTCCTGCATTTGGCGCCATATCGCGTCTTTTTGGAATCGCTGTCGTAAAAATTCTAGTCAGTATTGATACCAGACGGAGTAGAACTCATATCCTGAAACAATCAGAGAATAAGAATCCTCTTGTGTCAATTATCCGCTTACCTCCAAGTCATCCTTCCACGGCATATCCGCGTCAGGATGCGGTTTGCTGCCACCATTGACAGAAGTTGCTTGCTTCTTCGATGGTGGAGCAGAATCATTGTGATCATTAGTAGCGCTTCTCTTCCGGTCTTCCATCTTGACGAGACCTGACTCGGAAGATACGACGGGGGTTGCTTCGGCGGCCGGCATCAGTGGCTAGGACGGCATACGGAGCAGCAGCCACCACCACCGAGCAGCAACTGACCGGAGGTGTTTTAAAAGAAAGAAAACGAGGAGTACTCTAACTGTGGGGATAACAGCGTGAAATAGTCGAGAAAGTAAAGAAGAGAGGTGGTGGGTTTAAGATAAGCAGGACAGGGCAGGGGAATGGATCATGGAAGCCAGGAGGATTTTCGACTGGACGTTAGCGTCCCTTAGTGCCTCTCACGTGACCACGCCCACTTTCCCCCAGAGTTCAGGACGAACTGCCGGCATCTAGACTTTTTTTCTACTGCGCGTCGTCGACTTGTTACCCACCGGGCCATGTAAAGATGAAAGCTTTCTCCAGCTCGGTTATCAGTAAGTCTTTTGCATTTGGCTTTTTTCTATTTTTACCTCTACTCCCGCGCAATCATCTGATTCTTCCGTTTCCGTAGACAAGTCGGGCAAGAAGTTTGCCCCCAAAGCGCCCGTCCGACGCGCCGCGCCAGCTGCACCGCCCAGGAGATCAAGTGCAGCCCAGCAAACGCCCGCTCCAACTTCCCAGCAATCCCAGCCTGTTGCAACAGAGACCGCGACTGCTCCCACACCTAAGCCGCCTGTTTCCACGCCTGAGTCGTCCGTCGCTACCAGTGCTGCAGCGGAACCGCCGGTTGCAGAACCATCCGTTACCCAGAAGACGGCAGATGCAAAGCCAAATCCAGCCGTGACAGCTATTCCGATTCCTGCGCCAAAGCGAAAACCATCTGTTTCTACATCTATTCCTAGACCCGCTACAAAACCTGCCGCTCCTCAACCTACCCCGCCCCCGCGCAAGGCACCACTTACTGAACCGGTGCCTGTATCTGCGCCTGCGTCTTCAAGACCCGATCCCGAGGCCAGAACCGAAGAAAATGTACTCCCATACGCTACCCAGGAAACAGCTCGCGATGAAACCTTAGTGTCACCCCCGCCGTCGCAGACTCGACGCCCTTCAGCTAGTGCGGCTGAGATTCGTCCCACAAAACGTCAGAAAATCGCTGCTACTACGGAATCAGTAGCGCCATCCGTGGAAGCTCCACCAGCTGAAGCGCAACCGCTTACTCCTCCAGCTACGCAGACCGAAACCGAAGAGACCGCCAACCCTGAAACCAATTTGCAACCTGCTCCTGCCAGCAAAGCTCGGAAGACAACGAAACTAAGAACTAGGAAACCAGTGCAAAATAAGACGGAAGATGGAACAACTACTCAGCGAAAACGGCGACCGCGTGTGCGACAGCCGCGTGAACCGACTCCCGAAGGCGCAGAGAGCATCGAGATTGCGCCGACAGCCATGAAGATGTCAGACCTCTGCAAGGATCTACGGACGGGAAAGATGTCTAAGAGAGAAGTGGAATTACGGAATATGGAAACGGCAGAGCAAGAACGCAAAGAAAAAGCGCAACAGGGGGGCGAAGATACCGAGCCGACACCCACCAAGCAGAACGGGGAAGCAGCATCTTCGGCACCAGAGCAAGACGGAATCTCCGACGATAAGCACGGAGGGCAAGTAGGACCAGTGATGAGAATCGTTAATGGAGAAATTGTGCTTGATACAGCGTCTTTGCAAGTCGACCGTCACGCGGACGCGGCGCGAGACATGGGAGAACTGGAGGACGTGGTAGAAAACTCGCTCACACGCAAGGTCAATCAAGCAAGTTACGGCAAGCGATCCAAGACCGAATCCTGGGATGAAGAGATGACCGACCTCTTCTATCGAGGTCTGCGGATGTTCGGCACTGATTTCATGATGATCAGTAAAATGTTCCCCGGCCGATCCAGACGCCAAATAAAGCTCAAATTCAACAACGAAGAACGCAAAAACCCCGGCCTAATCAAGGATACGCTTCTTGGCCCGACCGAGACCATCGACATCGCAACCTACTCTGAGATGACAAACACAGTCTACGATGATCCCAAGCACATCCAGCAGGAACTAGACGCAGAGAAAAAGCGCATTGAAGATCAACATGCCAAGGAGAAAGCGGCACAAGAGGAATTGCTTCGCAATCCAGACGGTACGAATGAGGGCAACGCCGCTGATAAGAACAACGGCACGACAGCCAAGAAGCGAAATAGCAAAAAACAAACCAAGAATGCAGCCGGCGGGACGGAAGAAGTTGTTGGTTCGATTGACGATTTTCCTTGATACGGTCAAAAATGTATTGAGTAATGAATTGGCGTTTTGTGAAAGGCGTTTATGGGGTTTGAGTTATATGATCTAGGATCTGATGACTATATCTGGAGGATGGTTTGAATTTTACCTGATTCTTACACTGCACAGCATGTTTTATTGCCTATCTATCTAATTGGCTGGTTTATGCATTGACTGTCGCTGCGTTATGACCAAGTAATTAGCTAAAATGAAATCAAAACTGCTTCGTCAAACAGTCCTGCTCACATTCACCTCCTCCTGGTCGACCCAAACCCGGTCCCCGTTGTAGTAGTTGAGAATCCCGGCGACGAACGAGTCCGTGAATTGCCTTCCCAAGGGTCACGATCATATCTCGCGCCCATCCGTCGGCCACCAAAAGGCGAGCCATACCTCTCACTTCTTCTCCCCATCTCATAACCAGCTGCAGTGCCGCCTATTGCGCCAGTCCAGAAGCCTGGTCTCCAACCGCCAGCCGACGGGGAAGGACTGGGTTCGGGGTATCTGGAATATGGCGGTGGAGGCCCAGGATATGGTCCACCATTACCACCGCCAGGTCCCCCACCTCCCCAGAACCCTTCCCAACCACGACGCTGATCCGGACGATCTCTGCGAATGTCAAAGCAACTCAAAACCACAGGCCACAAGATAAAGATAAAAGCAGCCACCATAAACCCAAAAAAAATTGAATTCCCCACAGCATTTAACGGATTGCTCTCATCTCGTATCCCCCCAAATTTCTCCTCCCCGGCCTCCGTCAACAGCAATCGATACTCAACCCCACAACTCCCCTTCAACACCCACTTATCATCCGCATCTCGGTATCCCTCACAGATAACATCCGTAGAACCCAATTTGAATTCTGGCGGGAGAGGCGCGGTGCAGGTCCACTGGATATCTTCTTTGTCGTACTCGGAGCCTGCGTTTGTGCAGCGCATTGCATCGATGGTGTATAGGTTGCATACTCGTTTTGAAGGGCCGATACATGTGAGTTGGGGGATTGGGGAGACTCGGCGGGAGGTGGTGCGTTGGTTTACTCGGAGGGTTAGGGATTTGACGTCGGAGAGGAGGATGGCGTTTTTGGCTGGTTTGGGGGGGGAACCATATCCGAATGAGAAGGCGGGGGAGGCGTAGAGGAGAGATAGAAGGAGTATGAACGTGAAGAATATTAGGGATCTCATTGTTGCTTGTGGAGTGGTGTGACGTATATAGGTAGTTGGTGCTGTTAGATTAACAGAACAGCCGTTCTAATCCGTAGGCATCGTAGATAGTGATGAATAGGTAATGTTTCGTCCTTCCGAAGAAAAAGGAAGGCAGCCAACGTGTCGTGGCGATGGGCCTAAGGCAGTGATCTGGATCGGGTAGATCCTCGGAGACGGAGCTCTCTCAGTTATCGATAAAATAAGTTTCCGACCACTTCAATTTACACCTCAACTTCCACCTCAAGCATTTCAACGGCAATGGGCTAAGACAGGTGTTTTGAAGGTCTACAGCGACTGACAATGAGTCTTCAAAGTACGTTCTAATTCTATTTCTTCTTTTTCAGCTTCTGAGCTGACTTGATTCAGACGGAACCTCGCCGGTGCCGGCTCCATCCTCGTACGTGAAGAGATCGTGATTTCACACCCCCAGAGATGCGCATTACTGACAATTGACAGGCTATCATTTACACAAGGGTTTCTTCTCGGGCAGCTTTCTGTCGTGTTGTTGATCGGGGCCTTCATCAAGTTCTTCATTTTCGGCGAAGCACCTCCGTCTCCGTCCCGCGGACTCTCCCACCGCAACGCAACCCAAAGACGAACCAACTCTGTCTACAACGCATCCCCGAACGAGGAGACATCCAGATCATTGAGGGAAAAGCCTTCGACGTCTAATGTCCTCCGTCCAGTGCCATCATCCGCAACGAACACCCGATCCATCCTCCGAAAAACCTACTACAATGCTATCCCTTCCACGCCCTCGAAGCATGGTCGTCAGAGGATGCACCATTCATCGCATCAGCCGGAATCGATGGACTGGTTCAATGTATTGATTGCTCAGACCATTGCACAGTATAGACAGACAGCCTATTTGCTGAAGGACTCGCCTACGTCATCGATTCTCAGTTCCTTGAACGCGGCGTTGAATAACCCGGAGAAGAAACCGTCCTTCGTGGAGAAGATTGCGGTTACGGATATTTCCCTAGGGGAGGAGTTTCCGATTTTTAGTAACTGTCGCATTATTGCTGTTGATGATCCCAACACCGATGGTGGGCGACTCCAAGCGTTGTTGGATGTCGATTTAAGCGATGATAACCTCTCCATCGCTGTTGAGACTTCACTAGTGCTTAACTATCCCAAACCGCGTTCCGCCATCCTACCAGTTGCACTATCAGTCTCTGTTGTCCGATTCTCGGGGACATTATGTATCTCCTTGGTCCCAGCATCTACGCCACCCCTCCACACGCCATCTCCATCTCCGTCGCGCGATGCAGACGCACGCCCGCAAACTGGTTCTCCTGAGGTCAACCAATCTGGCGCTGATGCGCAAGATGATTCTTCGAGGTCTAATAGTCCGAAAAGCAACGTCGCATTCTCGTTTCTGCCCGATTATCGGCTCGATCTCTCAGTCCGCTCGCTCATTGGCTCACGGAGTAGGCTCCAGGACGTGCCCAAGGTTGCACAGCTAGTCGAGGCTCGGGTGCATGCATGGTTTGAGGAACGTGTTGTCGAGCCCCGAGTCCAAGTCGTCGGACTACCAGATCTTTGGCCGCGTATGGGTCGGACAGGCGTGAGGACGGGCGATGAATCCGAAACAGCCTCCAACCCAGCGTCGCACACCGGCCAAGCTACCGATATAGCCGTCCCTATTCAGAACGATGAGAATGATGGGGAAGCACCAGGGCTAAGGTTCCGCGGGTCACGTCCATCATATGATAGCGCTTCGCGGACCAGCAGCTATAACGTTGAGACGGGTGGCCTTAGGAGTCGGAGTATGACTCGTGATGATAGCGGCGGAGAGTTCCAGATGCCTGGGTCTATGCCTAGCAGCGTGGTTGCTAACTGAATCTACGTGCTGCTGTTGTGGCAAAGAGTTCAAGAAGATTCCTTTTCGTGTAACATTACTCTTGAGGCATTAGAGAAAAGTCTTGAGTCATAAATCCATTGATGCGTTGAGGTATATACAGATTTAAACGTGCAAAAGGATTGTCCAACAAAGGTATTCAACGCTCACACTTAGTTTGCGGTCACAGAAGGGCTAGGGACGGTGTCCAGGTATGTCTTCCGATGCGGATTGACATCAACCTCAGGGCCACGGTTCAACGGCGTCCACTTTGGCTCCGCTTGGAAGAGACGCATAGCTTTGACGTACTATTATCCACAATCAGCAAATACCATATACCCATAGACAAGAAGCACTTACATTTTTATCATCCGTGGTAAACCGATGATAAATCCCAGCCGGAAGAATAATCAAATCATCCTTACTCAATCGAATACGCACCCACTCATCCTCCTGCCCACGCACATCAAAGTACCCCTCCCCATCGCGAATGTACCGAATCTCCTCGTCCTCATGCAGATGCTCACTAAAGAACGACTTCACCTTCTCCTCATAGATGTCGCCCATGGTCTGCGGCGAGACGCAGACTTCGTCGCGGTTCTTGTAGCCACGTTCAGCGGCCAGGGTGTCGACGAGGTCGATGGTTGGGCAATAGCGGTAGAAGACGCCGATAGACTCGAGGTAGGACTCGGTGACGGGACGGCCGGAGTCGTGGGGCTCGCGCTGGTCGCCCTGTTCGACGTTAGCTTCAATTCTGAAAAGAATATGTGAAAGTTTTCGGGCAATGAATGCGGGCAGACTTACCGGTTGGTTATCATACCAGTATGCCTTCATTTTGCCTCTAATTTACGGACAGGATATCTCAAATGTAAGAAATTCTGCAAATGATGCGAATGACCTGCAGTTATATGCCGAAGATCTTATATCAAAACCAATTGAACGCGGGGTGTGAAAACGCTGCCCCGCAATTGGCCGACGATGGCGCAAAAGTCGCCGGAAATTGGCTTATGTCATCACACTACCACCTTCGGAGTTAGCGGCAATAAGCACTGCACGTGATTATATCGGCTTTTATTTTTTCGTGCCTGGCAGGGTATCGAGGTGCAGAGGGTAACTTTCATTCTTGCAGTGTTTCTGGTCAATTTGCTATAATCACTATGGCTTTTCGAGCACGATCAGTGGCTCTCTTCCGCTGGGGCCATGGTCCTCGCTCGGGGATGCTATGTAGGGGCCGTGGTATGGCTACAGTCTCGGGTGCGAGGTACGTCCTTCCCCCCAACTCTATGTCAATGTAGTAATTGACAACTCCAGACCATACGATGTCGTCGTTATCGGAGGTGGTCACGCAGGCTCCGAAGCCTGCGCCGCCGCAGCCCGCTCCGGAGCTCGAACCGCACTCGTCACACCCTCGCTCTCGAACATCGGCGTATGCTCGTGCAATCCCAGTTTCGGAGGGATTGGAAAGGGTACAATGATCCGGGAGGTAGATGCAATGGATGGAGTCGCCGGCCGGATCATCGACAAAGCGGGTGTTATGTTTCGGATGTTGAATAGGAAGCAGGGCCCGGCTGTTTGGGGCCCCCGCGCGCAGATCGATCGTGATTTGTATAAGAGGTATATGCAGGAGGAGCTTGTTGGGACGGAGGGATTGAGCGTTGTCGAGGGGAAGGTGGCGGATATTGTTGTTTCCAAGGAGGGGATGGAGGATACTCCTGGGGCGCAGGGCAAGATTGTTGGAGTCAGGCTTGAGTCCGGGGAGGTCATTCCTACCGGACGGGTTGTTATTACAACAGGAACTTTCCTGGGCGGAGAAATCCATATCGGACTTGATGTTTTCCCGTCGGGGCGCATGGGAGAAGCTGCGACGTTTGGACTGAGCAAGTCTTTGCGTGATGCTGGCTTCCAACTGGGACGATTGAAGACAGGAACTCCGCCACGATTGGATTCGAAAACGATTAACTATGCGCCTCTGGAGGTTCAGAAAGCCGATTCGCCGCCACAGCCGTTCTCCTATCTCAATAATACCGTGCAGGTGGGTGACAAAGGTCAGCTCACTTGCTGGCTAACCTATACCAACGAGGCCGCCCACGATATCATCCGTGCCAACCTGGACAAGTCCGTCCACATTCGTGAAACAGTCAGAGGTCCCCGGTACTGTCCTTCCTTGGAATCAAAAATCATTCGGTTTCACGATAAACAGAGGCACTTGATCTGGCTGGAACCGGAAGGGTTCGCACCCAATGATGTTATCTATCCGAACGGTATCTCGATGACCGTTCCCGCAGATGCTCAGTATGAAATGCTGCGGAAGGTTCGTGGCTTGGAGAACGTGACTATGCTCCAACCAGGCTATGGTGTTGAATACGACTATATTGATCCCCGCAATCTCAAACCGACATTGGAAACCAAACTGATCAGCGGTCTCTACCTTGCTGGACAAATCAACGGTACAACCGGCTACGAAGAAGCAGCCGGACAAGGTATCATCGCCGGAACCAATGCCGGTCTAGACGCACAAGGCCGAACACCCCTCACCCTAGGCCGCTCAGACGGCTTCATCGGCATCATGATCGACGACCTCATCACCAAGGGCGTATCCGAACCCTACCGCATGTTCACCACCCGAAGCGAATACCGCATCTCCAGCCGCGCAGACAACGCAGACCTCCGTCTAACCCGCAAGGCCCGCGATGCCGGCATCGTCACAGACAAGCGCTGGCGCCACTTCAGCGACACAGAAGGCCAAATTGGCGAACTCATGGACCTCCTCGGGAATACGCGCCTCACGTCCAACGCCTGGTCCCGTAGGGGCTTCGGCGTGCGCGCTGATACCTCCACCCGCTCTGCACTCGACATCCTCGCCCTGCCAAATATCGAAGTCGACTCTCTAATCCCCCATATTACCTCCACCCCCAGCACCGCATACAACCCCTCATCATTCTCCCCAGAAGTCCGCGCCCGCGTCGGCATCGAAGGCCGCTATGCACCATACGTCAAACGTCAAGAGACAATGGCGAGAAAATACCAACACGACGAGAACCTGTCACTCCCCGCTGATCTTGATTACTCCAAAATCCGGGGAATCAGCACCGAAGAGCGCCATGCACTGGAGCGCGTGCGGCCTGTTAGCATCGGTATGGCGAGACGCATTGAAGGTGTTACACCTGCTGGTGCATTACAGTTGGTGTTTCATTTGAAGAGGTTTGGAGGGAAGAAGGGGCTTGCGGGGAGGGATGCTGAGAGTGTCACGGAGGAAGTTTTGGGGGCTGCTCCTTGATTTCATAGATCTGGGGGCGGAACTTTTTTATGTGATATGTATATCATGCATCTATACACCGGCGCTTGGGATTGATTATAGGGTTCAAGGGTGGAGTCTTTGTTTTATTGGATGATATAAAATGTCTATTTTGATACCATGCTTTGCCATTTGGTTATTATATGCCAGTTTCGTGTAGTCATCATGTATATTTTTTAGGAATATCAACTTTTGACAAATTTTTAAATATGGAATGTCAAATGTAATGCTATGCAACCCATCTACAAAACTTCAAGTACACAAAAAGTTCACCCCGTATATACAACTGTACGACCACGGACTTTTTCCTTTCCTCCGTCAAAAAGCTTCGAGAACATTAAGAAGATCCCTTCTTCGCACTACTCCTAGCAATCCTCTTCTGAACTTCTTCCTTAGTCAAGATCTTAACAGCATTATTCGAGAAGACGTAGCTAAGGCCGGACCAAATGGTGGTTCCTGCGACGAGGTATCTACACAATTAGCATGGGTCATCAAACACTGAAAGATAAGAACAAATGCAAGAGAATGATCTGGCCCGCAAAAAAAAGAAACATACAACAGCCGGGATTCGCTGGTGGTCACCCACCCAACTACTAACCGGCCGGCGTGTGGCTTAAGTACGGCTGAGCGGACGGGAAGCCCTGTTCTCCACACCCTATGGTCGTATGTACCAGTTTCCCCCCCGGAGGTAAATATATTGCACTGGTATTTCCCATACACCCACGAGGAAAAGAGCAGAACGGAGGGAAAGAGAATAAGAACTTACTGAAATCCAGTCATCGCCTCCCTAAGATGCCACGCATTCAAGAACGTCTCCGGGAGCACAGGCAGAGCGATCGCAGATCCAACGAGCAAAAGCTGCAATGCAGTGTTGATCTTGGAGATTTCGGTCGGTTTCACCTCTGCAGAGGGGAGCGAAAAATCCCAATACCGAGCCATTGTTTTGGGTGGTGGGAGGGAGATCCAGCGATAATAGATCGCGGATATTGCGAGACCTACGTCGCGGCCGAGGATGATCACGGCGAGCCAGACTGGTTGTCTCAGTCATATATTCTGAAGTTGGGTGGAGGAGGCGTACCGGGAATCGATCCATTTACTGCCAGACAGGCAACACCGATGGTCATCAGTAGTTTGTCAGCCATTGGGTCGATAATGGTTCCGACGACTGTCTGCAGATTCCATCGACGGGCGATATACCCGTCAACAAGGTCCGTGATGCCCGCATAAGCGAACAGGGACAAGGCAGCAGCGTGGTGGTGATGGATAAGAAAGTACCCTACAGCGGGCGCAGCAAGCAGACGAGAAAAAGTCAGGATATTTGGAACAGTGTAGATGTTTTCATGAGTTTTTTGAGGAACTTGTATCCGAGGTTGTTCAGATCTGGCTCAAATTGTCAGACAGAAATCGTGGATGGCGCTTGGCAAGGCCTGAATATAGATATTCTGGAGCAGTATGGGATATAGCATACTCTTTGGTGGGTTGCACCTGATCTTCCGGGCTCTTGTTTGTCGTCCATCTCTTCTGATTGAGTATCTTTATGCAGCTTGCATCTGCACCACGCACGAAGCAATCTTTCGTCCTCGGAGACCTAAAACTGATTAAATTTCTCGTTCAAGCTCAACAAAGGCAGGCGATCAAACCTCGATAACCCCGACAAAGTAACAATAGACCGGTTGAACATCCCATGCTGCCGAAACCCTCCCCTCAACGCACCCGAACCGAGCGTGCGAGTACCTGAACCTAATAACCGCGGACATTGCCGGGAAAATAGAAATGCACTTGTTGCCATGATAAACTTCGGATCAGTGATGAAAATGCGAATGGAGTAATGTGTAAACGTAAATTGCTTTTCTTTTCAAGGTATGCTCCCGCGGCGCAGGAATCCGCCGTCTTTAATTCAATTCAGAATGTTTCTCCAACCCGAATCAACAAGTAAGCGTATTAATTCCTATGGCATCACAGGCAGCCTGCCGATGCCGATACTCCGTAGATTGTTTGTTGGTCTGGTTTGCGACAAATACCGGTCAAATCGGACTCCCACGAGCTGGCAATCGAAAAGCGAACACACAAATTCGGTACCTCACTAGCCGTTCAATCGGCAATCTAATTCCATACAAATACGAAAAGATGCAAATAACTCGTCGGGAGTACTGCTTGAAGCCGAGTTTATACAAAACGAAGCCCGTGACTTCTGAGGAAAATCTGCGGAAAAGCTGTTTGTCCGATCACATGACTCTATACAAAGTGACGTTTCCGATTCGGGCAATATCCTATGCCATATCTAGAGAATAGCAGAGTTATATGGTACTCTGTGACTAGATACTGTGTGGCGTTACACAGACAAGATTATATTCACTGCATTTACTGCACATACTCCCCATCATCATCAAGGCTAACATCATCAAGCAACTAACTGCAGCATTCACTAACTGGAGGAATACACATCAAAGCGCCTGGTTTATACACTGCAAAGTTATACAGGCAGCCTAATTCACTGGATTCGTCATTCCTTTACAGAATTTGTCTCTGTCACTGTCAGAGTCTTCAGAGCGCCGTCATGCTCTCTTTCATCTGACCCCCGACTCTCACCTGACAGCATCAACAGCTGCTCCTGCCGCTTTTCGTTCAAGCGTAAAGAGAACTTACGTCAACAGCGAATATCGCACAAGCTTACAGAGCCAGCTAAATAGACGGCTTTTCATAATCTGTTCATGGATGTCGACTACATGATTCGTATCCGGTGTTCGACTCGCATTAATATTGAAAATGGGGCTCTGGAATGACGGTATCTTGGGCCTACAGAAAGCAGACATGGTTTCCGTGGCTAAGAGGCAGGATGATACAGCAGGAGAAGTACCAGTATTTACTCCAGCACCTCCAGCGCACCCTCCACTTCCCAGCGTCCCTACAACAAAACAAGACAACAATGGCAGCAAACCGTCACAAGACCCTAACCTCGCCAATCCTCGACTACTTGTCAACAGATCTTGCATTTATGAGCGTCGACTACCTGGCGATGCCTATATCACAGCGCACGTCCAACGACTCCAACACGGCTACTACTCCTGTCCCGCCGTGTCAGACAAAGACTTCGAACACGTCGACTTCCTCGCTGTTAACTTCGTCTTACATTCACCTAATACGTTAGATCATCGGTTCATGGCAGCTACCATCCGCGCATCCGTCCATGGCAATCGCAAAATGTCCACCTCCGGCCAGATACAACCCCGGTTTATAATGCACGCACCACATCTGATCTACGGAGCCGTATCACCAGAGACACTACAATGGAACTTTGGGCTAGCAGGTAGTTTAGGCGTTTCGGAGTTCCCCGTGAGCGCCAGTATATCGCCATCTGGAGGCGTGCTTGGAAAATACCGACGATACGAAATGATGCGAATTCAAGGATCTGTACGGACGCTGAAAAGTCCTCATGGACGACAGTATGACATTGAATCTGGAGAGATTGTCTGGTCATTGGAGGAGAACTCACTGCAGCGTTCTGGTCTACCACGGGAATTTACATTCGCCATGCTAATCCACAAACCACGCGCTGAGAGTCGAATCCATTTCTCCTTGGACATCGACCCGGTAATCCAATCGTGGTATGGAAGCTATCCGAAGTGCTGGTTATCGCTTTCACGGTACCAACCTGTACAACGACGACCAATTGATTTCAGACGGGATATAGGACAAAGGTTTGAGACGGGGCCATCGTCGAAAAAGAAACGGTTTAACTTCGCGACTCTTGAAAGCTCTTTCGATGAATATGTTAATATGCCAGGGAGAAGGTTCACGACGGGCGTAAGTCCCAGTTGGCTAGATGGGGATGGAGCAGTCATTGACATCAAGATCAGACCAACCCGGACGACAATCTTTTCAGAGACGATAATGAATTCAATCCAGATGTTGTCAGGGGGTTTTCCGCAGTTGAATCTCGTGGGAAGACCGCCTCGCGCAAACCTGCGAACAACCCGATAAGCCTGCCAAACGAACCCCCAGCTGCGAATTTAAATGTCCACGTCATGTTGGATACAGCATCGAGTAGGACGACGAAGCGGCATAGGAGAATGTCTAATCCAGAGAGAGGCATGCGGAGGGCAGAGCCACTTCGGAGGACTAGGTCTGGGGACACTACGTATCAGTGTCAGTCTAAGATGTTGGCTTTGGAACAGGCGGACAATTTTTAGGATCGCGGCTGTTTCCTTGGTTTTGTTCTGCTTTAGAGTATGATACCACCGAGCATGATGTACTTAGCATAGAAGGACCTATACATATTGTGCTGTCTGTATACTTGAATGTACCAACAAGTGCACATAAAATATATGTTGCTGCGTTATCATAACACAAGGTGCTATGCTGACTTCAATCTTGTTCTATTGAGTCTCGATTAATCCTTTCAGTTAATCTGATCCAGTTATGTATCGTTTGTCTACACTAATTCTTCATCTCCCCTGGGACAGAGTATGAGAATCACGGTAGATGGAAGTTGTAGTATCTCATGAAAATTAGTGTCTTGATGGGCGTAGTGTAGTGAATATTAAACAATAATCATATGTTCTATCTATTCTATTAATTAAACGCTAAATGCCATGACGCTAACGACTTTTCCTCTATTTGCATCACGTAACATCGAATCAAGCATATGTACCATGAAATCAGGAACCATTAGACATGTGAAATGTCACATAACCGAAAAGAGGTCAAAAAAAAAAAAAAAAAAAAGGGGGGGAAAA